TTGATCACATTTATTTGCATTATGCAAAAGTGAGTGTAGGATTCTGAAAATGGGAGGAATGGATGTCCCAAGGGAAACAGAAGCCCAGATGTTAATGTGATGTGTATTTTCTGAAAGGGGGATATCATAGCATTTTTTGGGTTAGGAAAAATGGTCAAAATGATGTATTTTTATCCCTTGCTCTCTTCCACGATGGTGAAGAGAGAGAGCCCAGGGGAAGACAGTTTTAATGTTCATAAGGTGTGTTCATAGCATACCATTTGCAGACCAGGGTCTGTCTGGCCAAAAACTCTTCCCCACTTCCAGACAGCGTGGTTTGGGTTGTGTAATGCTTCTGCCCTGCTCCCCTAGAGAGAGGTGCCTGGTCACCGTGCCTGCCTCTGAGACCTGGAGTGCTGTGCCTGGCTGGCAGTGTCCCCTGTGGCCCTTGAGCCTCACCCCAGTGTTGTGGGAAGCCGGTGCCAGCCCCATTGCTCCGGTGATGGTTTTATGGCTAAAGAGGAAACACAGATCTGGGTTTTTAACAGAACTGACCATCTTTGGCCATGCCACCTGCAAGCCAGAATCACACAGCATTGACAAGATGTTGCTAGAAAATCTCTTGAGTTACAATGACACTTCACTACTGTGTTCCTGGCTGTATTTCACAAAAGATTTCTGATTAGAAAAAGGAAAAGGCAAGACTATAGCCAGCCCTGGCACTGCAGGAGTAAGGGGTTGCTGCTTTATGGTAGAGCAGAAGGTGGAATGAGACATTTCAGTGGGCAGGAAGGCTCAGTTGGGGCAGGTACTTGCTCTGTGGACAAGGCAGCAAAAGCAAACTGCGGGACAGACAGGCTGTGATCAAAACCTTCAGCTGTGAAAGGGAACATCGAGGGAAAATTGGTCATGAGCTGAGAGAATGGGTACATTAATGTAACTTAATAATAATAGTGCTTCTAGGTGAGTGTGCTGTGCTCTTGAGTTGTGTATGAGGGGCTGTGGTGGGTGTGGGTGGGCAGGGGGATGGGGAGGCTATGGGAGTCAGGCTGGCATGGATGCCTTTGTTCTTTGTGGCTGCTGTTTTTCTTACCATCTCTGTTTTGTGCATTAGAGCCTGCTGCAGGACACACCACAAGAAGACAGAGAAATGGGTATAGGAATGGAAATTTTCCTACTTCAGGCTCTTTTTATTCTTTTCCCTGAGTTTTCTAGCAGATGTTCTGGAGCTCTTGCTAGTAGAGATGGGGAAGAAAGGAATGTCTGTCTATAGGTGGAAAGGGATTAGGTTAAGAGATGTAGCAGGCATTTTTAAAAAAGCAAACCCAAACTGCTTTGCCTTTCTCTGCAGTGGCTGGCTCTGCCTGGTGTGCCTGTTTGGGGTGGTCCATGGCAGGACAAGGACATGTGCTGATGGAGTCAGTCCTGCATGGAACTGAGCAATGGCTTTACTTCCTGCCCTGTGCAAGATCTTTTTAAGCTTTTCAGGGACTGATTTGACAAACTAAGCCCTAAGTAGAGGGTATAGTTGCTTAGGAAGGGTCAGAGGCAGATTATATTTGGTGTATAAAGAGGCAGATTATATTTGGTGTATAAATGCAGCTGTGATTAACTGAACAGACAAAATCAAGGTCAGGGAGGCAGCTGTTGCCTTGTCCTTTTGCTGTTGAGTTCTCTGTAAGATCTGTTGCTAAGGATGTCTTGTGTAATGTTGCAGTAACATTGAAGCAGGACAATGTGATCACCTTGTCAGATCTTCGGTGGCACTGATGATACCAAAGCTCTCTGCTCCCTATTTCTTCAGAGGCAGCCAAGCTGCAAGACTGCAGCTTTCTTCTGGGAAGATGGGGAAGGAGAACAGCTTGTTTGGGGATACTTGCTAAGATCTGTTTTTAAAAGGCACTCCAGAAGCTGGGCTTTATTTACGCCTTCCTTACTCAGTTTGGTGCAAAGATGCTTCTTGTAAAGACATTTTTTTTCTGCCAATGCTCAGTGAATGCAAACTGTGTCTGATATTTAGCCTTGGCAGTAGACCTGCTGGTTAGAGAAAATATCCATGCTTGCATTTAAAGTTAATACTTAGCAATTAATGCTTCAAAAACCCTTAAGAGACTTTGCCTACTGCCTTTTGTGCACTGGCAAGGGTTTGGTGGTGTAGGTCTGCCCACTATTTGCCCTTGCACACCTTGCTAGTGCACTGGCATGCATTTGAGCAGACTTACTTAAAAGCATGTGAAGTACTTCATCTTTTCCTTCTGCCATAGCTTAACATCATTTCCAAAACATTTCTGGTTGCTTCTGGCCCAGGAGAAAGGCAGTGTCACCTTTCCCTGCCTTCCAGAGGAGTTTTGTGAGAGCTGGTCCATGAATTCATTAAAACAGAAACCTTCAAGGCTGGGTAGTGCAGCCTCCCCTGGGTGAGAGCTGAAGGCATGCTCTGAAAACATGTCTCTGTGGGGCTTCCACTTATGAAAATTCAAGTAAAATCTCATTGTGGCCTGGTTTGGGGTTTTTTGTTTTGTTTTGCATATATACACAGAAATATTCAGAGTTGCAGGACTGGTAATTTGATTTGTGAAAAATGAATCGGAAAGCCAGACTAGTTTAGGGTCAGGAGGACCCTGATGTGGTCTGTGGACAAGAGGCCATGGCAGATAGCTGCTGGGCAGGCTCAGGATGGCCAGAGCTTCTCCAGCCAGGCTGCCTGTGCCCCTGTCTCTGCCTACACAGGCACAGACAGGAGCTGCCATGGATGCTGCTCTGAGCTGGGGCCTGCGTTCCCCTGCTCCACTTCCATCCCCAGCAAAGCAGATGTCAGACTCTTCCAGCAGGACCAGTTGCTCTGCAGCAGCTGCTTCTGAGTCCCTGCAGAGCCCAGGTGTTTGTGTCTCTTCCTGGGTTTAACTGCAATATCCATAAAAATGGAACTGAAAGGGTTTGGGGTTGTTGGGTTTTACCCCTGGAAAATTTTCCTGTAATTACAAGGTGAGAGTGTATTTTGCCATGAAATTTTCTAGTTGTAGAGTGCTCCACACATTGGACTATTTTGGAAAAGAAAAAAAAGCATGGGGAGCTGAATTTTTGACTCATGGATAGTAATGGAAAATTACTGTTTACTCAAGCTTAGTTTCCTGGCTGGTGGTTGGTTATTAAAAGTGACTGGGAACAATTGTGGCATTTAAACTGAGCAGGGCCACTGCACAGGGCCGGGTGACCCCAGCTTTTGGCTCTGCATGCATCAGGTGTTGCTGTTGCTGTGCTTCAGCAGCTAGTGGGCACCTCCTTGAAGTTTAGAAATTCACTTTGCAAATTTTAAACTTCATTGGTATTAATAGGAAGCTCATTAAACCTTTACTTATGCATATGCGGTTTAACAGCATCTTTTGAGTTTCACTTCAACCTCGTGGAACTTGACTAATGCAAAGGAGAGTGGTCACTGTAGCAGTCTCTGGAGGCTTGTGGAGAGAGGAAATACTTTTTACATGGCCAACATCACCTCAGGGGGAATGGACTGGCTTTCAGTCCTCCAGCAGCAGCACCCAAACCCCATCCTCTGTGTGGCAAGCTGCAGCCTCTGCTGCTGCTCATCCAAGGGCGCATAGCTTTGAGAGCAGTTCTGCAGCTTTTAAAAATATTTATTTATTGTGATCTCTGAGGATACTGGTATGAAGTTGTCATTTCTGGGCCTCAGCCTTAGCTCAGTTGATTTAAAGTCCAAATTACAGCTCAGGACCCTGGCAGCTGGTGTCGGAGATGGATGCTTCTTGTAACTCCACAGAGCACAGGTGTTTTCAAGGTAATTGCAGAGGTGTCGTGGCAAGAGAAAGCAGAACTGAGACCCACCGACCTTTCTCTGGTGTATTTATAATGGAAATCACCAGCTGTTTCCGTCGCCGCTGCACAGATCGCTCCCACACGGCCTGTAGCAGCGCGGCGTCCTCACGGCTCGATGGTGCTGCAGGGCTCTGCGGGACCCCGAGCAGGGGAGGAGGCGGCCATGCTGGAACGGTGTAACCCTGAGAGCTGAGGCACTGCTCCCTTCCCGCTGGGACGGACTGTGGCTCATCCTTCACTTGGAAAGGGAGCTTGTCGTGAAGGGTTTTGTCCCTTTTGCTGCCCCGTTAAACAGGGACAGATTCTATTTATATTTATATATATTTATATATAAACAGGTCTGCAGAGGCGAGGCGGTGCAGGGCCAGCCGGCCTGGCGTGCCCCAGAGAGGGAGCCGTGGCCAGCCGGGGTGCACGGAGGAGCTGGAAGCTCCCGGGGGGATGCAGCCCCGTGTCGCTGGAGGGGATTCCAGCCCGCTCGCTCCTGCCCAGGCATCCTTCAGCACCGGGCACCGTTTGGCGGCGTTTTCTGTCCTGACCTCGCTGCCGGGGACAGCCCTGAGGGGATCCGTGAGGCGGATCTGGCAGCACCAAAGCCGGGCCCCGGCCCCCGCAGCGCTGCCGGCTCGGCTGCTGAGCACTGATGCCGGCAGCTTCTGCTTGTTATTATTTCTCTCTCTTTCCCCCCCGCTTTCTCTCCCCTCTCGCTTTCTTGCAGAATGGTTTCAGTGCTCCTCGGCTGGGTGGCAGCGGTGCCACAGCCGGGCCTGCCCCTCTCCCAGGCACAGCTGTACCGTCAGGAGCCAGTGCCAGGACATGGCACGGAAAAAACGCGGAAAAAGGCACGGGGAAAATGGTTCAGAAAAGGCAAAACACTGAAACAGTCCCAGGGCATTTTAATTTCCTTCCCATTTTCTGTCTGCTTTAACTTTTCAGGTCAATGACACTAATGGGCTGTGGTGGAAGTGAAGTAAATAATCATGTACGCCAAAGACAGCACATTGATTTTTATGTCTGTCCTCGCTAACTAATGACAGCCTTTGTAGGGACTGAGCACTTAAACCTCTGGCAGCAGGAAAGGCAAAGCAACACAGTAGAAAGGGAAAAAAGAAAAGGCCTTTGCTTGCTTTTTGACTTTCATCATGTTTTTACTAGAATCATATTGATATAGTTTTTTAAAACAGGGGAAAAGTTGTATCACCATTTGGTAATTCTTGTAATTCTGCTACTTAATCAAACAAAGACCAGTGTAATTATTGAGGAGTCTTCCTGAGGTGCCTACAGCTCAAGGCACAGCTGTTCTCAAAGTGCCTACACATCTCACAGGTACAGCAAAAAACATTCCTGAAACTGTGCTAGAAATTTCACCTGGGTTCTCTTCTAAATTTTTGGTAAGTGAGGTTTCCCCTTGCTAATACAACAATAATTAATATATCTTGTGGATTTTTTCCTCTTAAAATAATGAATTTTAAAATACAGATATGCAATAATTATGATTCTCCATGTGATTATGCTACTCTGTATTTATAAACTAATTGTTGCAAAGACACATGCCTACCTAACAAAAAAAATTGGAAAAGTTACCAAATAGTATGCTGGCAACCAGTGAGTTATACCTGTTCAAAGACCATGGAGAAGGCTTTATGTAAGAGAATGTGCAGGTCAGTACAGTCCTGGGTATGTTCATAATATGGATAAAGAACTAATTGAGACAGAAATAACAGAATACTTGCTAGTTCTGATCAGGAAATTTGGTTCTCTTAAGGCAGGTAAGGAGAGTTCTTTACAGATTTTTTTAATTAATGCCAAAAGCCAGAAAATAAGTGAGAAAAATCATTTATATGCTTTTCTACTTGAAAGACTAATAGAAATAAACCATCACTGTCTTTTCCTCATTCACTGAGAGTCATTGTTTTCCCTCACTACTTTCTCATGGCTCTGGTATCTGAAGTGTTCATTATAATGGATTATTTGTCTTGCAAAAGCCCACGTTTGGGGGTTAAGCCACACCTAATAGGCCTCATTCTCTCTCCTCCCTTACGTGTCCCAGTTTTGCCCCAAAGTGGTGCATGAAGAAGTAATAGGGTAATAATATGGGACACTAGAGGCAGTATGAGAGTTCAGAGGGAAAAAGAGCATTAAACCAGGCTGTGCAGCTTGTTTACAGTAGAGTTGACAGAAACTGCTTGTAAAAGAAATGAGGTTAAAATTAATGACCAGGTGCATCTGCATATGTAATTTATCAGAGCAAGCAAGTAATAAAAAAGAATTACTCTAATTAAAGTCAGTCATACAAGAGGGGAAGGATACTTTAAAAAAACCCCAACATTATCCAATCAGGCATTCAGCTCACTGTGTATGTATATTTCCTTGTCTTTAGGTTTAAACCCCAGTACCCTTTAGCTGCACTGAGAGAGATGGGTTTACTCACCTGTTCCAGCTCAGGTGTTCAGTCACATCACACTGCATACTTGTTTCCCATGAGTGAAAAGGCTCTTTTCTGAAGTCAAGGTAATCTGTTTTCACATGTTGGGTGTTATTCTAAGTATGCAAGAAACTGTATCTGACAGAACTTGTCCTCCTATGTGATCAGTTTCCACTGGTTTTCAAACAGTTCCACTGAAACCAGAGTGAACACAAAGTTATATTTTTTTTCCTCTTTCCTTATAGTTTGTCAGCAGAGATGTTTCTGGGAACAGGTTTTCTTATAGTGCAGGTTTCAATGGTGCTGTTCCTGCCCTTGTTGGCAGGTGCCAGCTGGGGAGGGGATGCCAGTCCTGAGTGCTTCTAACAAGAAGCACCAACACAAGATGTTTTCTAAATATTTTCTTGTAGTACTAAAAGTATTTGGTGGGGATATAGTGGAATCACTGTGCTCTGTGTGAATGAGTGCTGTACTGCTAAACAGTCCCAGTGGGTTACCACCATGACAGAATTTTTCTCTCCAGCCACAGATAAATCAGCAGTGGCCAGTTGCGTTTGGTTTGCAATGAGCTCTTGCCTCTCTTTTGGATGAAGTTTCTTTTGTTCTTTGCCATCCCTATAATACTGAATATATGACCCAATTCAGTCTGTGGATCAATGTTAGCCAATGACCACAAGGACAATATTCCTTATATGTCACCTCCCATCTCTGCAGGAACACCAAGCAGAAGACAAACAGGGGAAGGGAAAAGGGTTCAAGACATGCACTGAGACAGAGCATAAGCAGGAATGCAGCTGTGTCAATAATACCTACAAGCCAGAATTTTGCATCATCCTGAAGGAATTAACTGCCAAAAAAACTGCACAGAAAAGCCCCTCCTTCAAAATTCAATAACAAGAAAGTAGACTTACATTATTAACAAAGAACAGTTTTAATAGAAATGTTTAGGTTTACATTTCAAAATGACTTACAAATAAACTTAATCACAATGCATATATTCTTTTCTTTTAAAAAAACAACCATATTTATTCTAACATAATATATATTTTCTGAGTTATAAAATCCCATATAAATAGCAAATTCTTTTCAGTACACAGATTACAAGAATGCATAGAAACTGGGATGCATATCTGAAAAGAATCCCGAGTATGCATTCCACAACTGGCAGAAAATAGAATAGTGCTAGAGTTGGAAATAAGAAATGCTGTTGTCCTTGTATATGATTTAAAAAACAAAAAAAGCAATCAAACAAAAACTGAGAACTTTTTGGTTGCTCAACCTTGTTCAGCTCCCTAGACTCAGGAATGGCTCTGGATGCTCCACTCCTTGAGATTTTGGGAGCATCCTATGGATTCTTCTGGTATCAAAAAAAGAGAATGGTGTCTGTCTTCTGGTGGACAGAAATGAGGCACTTCCTTAGAGCAGGTCAGTGTGGACTGTAAGCAGAAGCTTGGACTTCCAGCCAGAAAGCAGCAAAAAGTGATTCTTGAATGATGATGTGTGGAAACAAATTTGGAAGAGGCAGCCAATTCTTACACTCCTCAAGGTTCCCCTGATTATCCCCCAAAACACCATAAAGTCAAACAAGAATGAGTAAGTGGAAATGTTGCATGTTAGAAAAATCAAAGCAAAAGTTTTCCCTTTTTTTTTAGACTGAGGTGAGCAAACAAGCAAGCTGGACTAAGAACAAGTCATAGCAGCATTTAGATCAGAGCATTCACCCTGTGCTTTCTCTTCTCTCTTCCAAGAGAGTTGCACAAGAGAGCTACGTGTCTGGCAGCGTTCCCAGCGGTGTGACTGCATCTCTGAGGAGCAGGCAGACTGCAGTGCTGCAGGAGGACACCAATGTGCAGAAGCCTCACGGTGTGTTTAATTTGGAGCTAGTTTATTATTGTAGCACAATGGGGCGTATTCTAGTCATAGTGAAAAAAAAAGTCAATTATTCATGGAAGAAACACAGACAATTCTGCCTGTTGTTTTCAAAAAAGAATGTAGTAATTATATATTCCTTTAAACACTGCTGTTAGATAAAATATGATGTTTTTTCATAGGGTCATGAACTCTGACATTACTAAACCATGAATCATAGGAGCAAACTCATACATGCAAACTGCAGTAAACACACAGAGATTTTGCTTCTTATTGGAGTGTCAACTCAGTAGAGAGCCATTTATAGTCTCCTGGCTTATTCCCATTTTAACTGGGATCAAAAACTGGATGAACAACGTTATACTGAAGTTGAGCCATAGCTGCAGAGAGCAGAACTTCACAGGTAAACAACAGATACATCATACCATTTTAGAATCAGAAATTCTCAACAGTTTTCTGTCCTTTGAAATATTACAATTAACTTCTTTCTTCTTTGTATCCTGTGAATACTCTCATGGTAATTTTCTTCCTGCTTTAGTTCAAACACAACAGGAAGAAGAAGTTGTAAATATTGCACAGCTTGTTAATATAGAAGACCAGATAAACAAATGACACTTGCAGGGTGAATCTTCAGTCCAAAGAAAAGCTTTTCATTTTTTCTGCTAATTCCTGTCTAATTTCTATGTGCTTTTTCAAGTTTTGCACTTCATGGGGCAGGTTAATGTCCCACACTGACACGCAGGATTGTAACTCTAGAGAAAAAAAAAAGAAAATTTGAAATATGCAACAGAGATGAGTTATTGCATAATTAGACATGATTTTGCTGATCTGCTTGTTTTCAATTACTCAGAAATTCACCTAACAAAGGCATGATCTTTAGGACCCAGAAGACAAGTTCCATGACACTTCATGTTTGAGGTGATGCAGTTATGGGTTGCAAGATGTTTGTACTTGCACAATGATTTGGATTCTAGTTCCTAAATTTAGAGTATCCCATTTAAAAGTACTCGAAAAACCATTCCTGGTGCCTATGGGCCTTAAGGTACTGACCTGAGCTACAGCTAATGCTAATACTGAGGTGCCTACTAAAATTTCACCTCTACCTTTCCAAGCAGATACACCCTAAAATGCCTATGAGACTCAAACCCCATTCACTGTAAAATAAAAACTGATTTCATAGGCTAGTGAATATACTTGGAAAAGGTCACTTCTTCAGTCTCCATTCATGCAAACAACTCTACTCATGAAAAATTCACACTTTTTTTTAGTGGAATAGGGATAATTGAGAACATTTACACAAGCCAAGGCTTACAAACTAAGGCCCCAAGGATTCTGGAGTCTCCGATTCTTCTCTGTAATTAATGTAACTCTTAAATAAAATAAAAATGCTAATAAGCCAATAAATGTTCTTATGGTTACAGGAACTGGGGAACAGCACAATGTAAACCCAGTGCTCTGAAGTTTGGCTCATTTTGGTCAGCTCATCTACACTTGCCCTCATTAACTTTACACTATCACTGCCACATTTTTAATCGCTGAAACTGGGATGAGATAAAGGTGAAGAAGGGCATTGATCAGAGCATCAACTTTAACTGTTTTTAGAAAAATCTAAAGATGTAGATTTTCTATCTTCCATCACTTTGCTATCCTAATTGTCAGGAAGCTTTTGCTGATGTCTGACTGAAATCTCCCTTGCTGTAACAGAAACTTGTTAGTGCTTATCCTCCCCACAGGGAATACATAGAAGTCTTAATTCTATTGGTCTTAATTTACATATTCATAACCTATTATCATGTCCCCTCTAAGCTTTATTTATGTTAATCAATTTAACTCCCTGCAACATTTCCTCACAGGTTCCATTTGTCTTCTCTGGACTGCTCCTAATAGTCCAGAACATTCAGCAATAAACAGGCTCCTTCAGTTAAGAATTAGCTCATGGCTTACAGACATCACTTTCATGGTGTGAGAGTGGTGTTTGCCTCATCTGCATCCGCATGACATGACTGATTCATGACCAGCCTCTGATCAATTCTGACCCTTTTTCTGCAGCACTGCTGTTTAAGCTTATCATTTCCTCATGCTGGTACAGCAGATCATTCCTAATTAAATAAAAGATTTTGCATTTGTCCTTACAGAATGGTATCCTATTTCCTTCCAGACCATTAGTTCTATTTTTCAGGCTCACTTTGAGTTCTAATCCTGCCCTCCAGTGAGCTTGTATTAGCTGTGAGTTGTCTGCAAATCTGAAAAGTACATTCACTATTCTTTCATCCACATCACTCATGAAAACACTGGGGATTCCTGACCTAGCACAGCCACCTCTGGAAGTCCATTTGATACACTTTCCAATTAGACAATGACATTTACTCTCCAAATAGAGTTTCCCAACAAATTGAATTGTATCCTTCAAACAGTGGCTTCCTCAGATCCATTTTTGGAAGTGACTTTTAGTTTGCATGAGCCCATATATGCAAAAGAAAACAAAAAGTACTTAATAGTAGTGTTTCAGTAAAATTTTGCCAAATGATGATCAACTCTTCACTGTCAGTGCGTAGTCAAGCACAACAGTGTTTCCTCTACTAATAATACGTTAATAAATACGTTAAAGTTAATAAAATACAATTCAGATACCTTTGTGATATTTGTTGTCTTCGGTGTCACTTTTATAGCAGTATCCCAAAACAAGGACCACATTCTTGAGACTCCCTTTTTCAAAGAAATAAAATGTCAAATCTTAATTTTAATGTGAATTTTGTAATTTAAGGACAGAAAGAGTAGATGGCATCAAGGCACTAAGAGGACAAAAAAGCAGAGTTCAATCAACCAGACCCTTTATTCAAAATCATTAACCATGAAAAACCCGGACATGAAGACAATGTAGTTCCCATCTCCATTTAATGTCAGGGTTTATCAGGGTTCCAAGGCATAAGCACAGGATCAGCCAACCCAGCCTGCTGAACAAGCCCAAGAACAAAGCACCCTATTATACAGCACAGGCAGAGGTGGTAGAGTCACAGGAAACAGATGTCACAGCAAAAGGACAGGCTGCAAGTGAAGTCGCAGTGCACAGCAAAATGTGCCAGTTCAGTTATGAAAAAATCAAACCAACCAAACATGACAAAAAACTGAGTAAAAATGATGAACTAAAAGTTTTAAACTTATGATGACATATGGATGGGAAGTGGAAATAGGGATAGATCATAAGAAGGTGCCTACTGAGTAATGCAAAAGAAGACCTGGAAGACAGAAGTGATTGGATCACAGAAGGATAAACAGAATGTGCCAGTGTTTCAGTATCAACTTCCTGCTTATTTCCAACATGACATGTCTATAAATGCCTTGCAAAGATAGACAGAAGCTGTTGCATGTTCTCCTGCCACAGCAGCTCCCACTGGCCAGGTTCCCACTGGCAGCACTGTGAGGGTACCCTTGGCTTCCAGCTAGTAGAGACAGGACCCAGCCTACATCCCTGGGTCAGGATCAGGCCAGGCAGGGAACAGGCCAGGGTGCAGACACCCTGCTGCAGCACCGTGCCTCACACACGGAGCCTTACACTCCCAGGGCAAAGATGAGGAGGGTGAGCAGTTTCTGGGGCATAAATAGACTGGAGTATGGCTTAACTGTGAAAGCTGCAGTTGGGAAATTTTTTAACATGTCCCAGGACCTCTGCAAGGTAGAGAGAGGCTTTTCCTGCCTTGAGGAGGTCAGCACTATATTGTCCTCTGAGAGTGATGTAAATCTGATTATAGTAGATGAGGGATGGTGGGAACCATACACATCCTCAATGCTCAGATTTTTCATAAATTTATTTTTTTTTCTATAGCCAGTCCTATCCATACTCCTTACAAAAGTGATTGGAACTTAAGTATAATGTTTCTTATTTAGACCTAGGTCCTGTCTTACTGTACAGGAATCTAAATCTGTACTTGCAAAATCAACTACAGATTTACATCTAAATTATTCTCTGTGGTAAGTCTCATGCCTATTGAACAACAATGTGTTAGGTGACAGAACTGGAAAATGTCATTGTATTTACATATTCATATATGAAGTACAGATAACATTAATGTCTCAAAGTCTGGAAATCTCTTTTTCCTGAAATATTTACCACGTGAGATTATATGGTTTAACCTTAAATGAAACTATTTCACACAAAAATACTTCCTCTATCTTCTCTTATTTCATATAAGCAATGTGGTACTGTTGAAAAACTGCTCAGCAGCCTCAGTGACATTTTCAGAGATTCCAGTAGAAAGCGTCCTCAAATTTAGGAAAAAAACCTTAGACCTTATAAATAATTGCTGCAAAAAGATTATCAAAAGAAAAAAGTACACATCAAACTGCATATATCAATCTTAGTTGCCGTTCTTGAGATTTGTGCAGCTAAACTCCTGAATATTAATTTTTCTATAAATAAAATTTTGATTAAAAATGTTGAGGTGACTGAGCCTCAAGGTTTTTTCAATCACACTATTCTATACAAAATATTTTCCCTATCAGTGACTGCAGCAAGGCAATAATTATGTTTTCATAGTAATTACTCTTTACAAAATGCTAAAAATAAAATGTCCTTTTATAATACTAACATTGTAGCTAAGAGGACTAGATGGAATGATAATGCTGTGCTATAGCTGGCACCATTAACAGCTGGGCTCTGAACAGACTGTAGCATTTGCTGTTTCAGGCAAAGGCAAGTCAGAGGAAGGTGAGGTATGTTTGACCCATACAACATTGCCAGCACTAAGACCTGACAGTAGTCTATGGATCCTTCTGGTGCCAGAAAGGAAGAAACAGCCCGCAGAGTAAGTTCCTGATGGTAAGAAGAAAACATTCACAGCCTGCAACTGTGATTTGCTAGCAGAATTACAGTGTACTGCTGAATTCACAACAGCTTCAGTGTTTGGTTTGTTAATTTTTTGGATAGCAAACACAGTTTAAATAACACTGGCAGGGAAACTCCAGAGTTTTTTCCAAAACACTGTGGAAAGTAATGGGAACCCACATGTCATGCCACAAAGGACTTTTTCAAGTAATGTGTACTTTGAATGTATTCATCACAGCTGTACCACAAACTTGAGTTGATATGGCCTTTATTACTTTTGGAAACAGTGCAGGACAATGTACAGGAAGGAAGGAAGTGTGAAGGAAGTTTCAGCAGCCAAGGAGTGTCCCTTCCTCAGCTGCATTCCTGCCACTGAAACTCCGCAAGTCCTGTCTACCTACAGCAGCTCGAAACAGCTATCCCTGATGAGAGGAGCAGCACACAAGTGCACACCCCAAGTCCAGGTGTGTAGCACTTTCCCAGCTCTGTTGTGATCTGCCTGTGACCCAAATCTAAAAGAACCATTCCTGAATCACACTTGAGATGGAGAAAGAACACAGGCAGACACACGTAAGAAAAGACCACATGACAAAATGATGGTGAGAGCTGAGATGCATCACTGAAGCACAGCACAGGGATGCAGTGAAGGTGGGGTACACGAGCAAACCAATGACAAGCAGGGAAGAGCTGCTGCTTTATGTGGGCACAGGTATTCAGCCTGCTGGTATTCAGTTTACACCCTAGAGTCTGACACTGATGGAAAATGACAGTCGTGGAGTAGAATGAATGAACAAATCCTGGATAGTGCTAATCTGTTTCTGGAGCACTATAACAAGCAGTACGGAGAAAACCTAAACTTAGCAGTGATTTCAAAGTACTCACCACTTGAAGGTTTTACTTACCCAGCTGAGCTGTTATCATGACTCGAACAGAATCACAGAACTTGTCTATGACTCGTACAGGACGACGTGTTGACAAATCAAGCAGCAAGATATGTCCTCCTCCTGTCCCTATCCACAGTGCAGTATTTTTCTGAAGACAAATGGTCTTCACTCTTCCAGAATAAGCCAGTTTATGTTTTGATTCCTTATTTAATTTTTCCACTTTGTTCCTACAAGTATGGAAAGAATTTGCATTGGAATTTGGTGGCATCCTATTCTGCAGCTACTAAAATGACACTCTGAATACCAGACTTTTAAGCAATCATTCACCAAGTCAAATCACAAAATTCTCATGCAAACAAATTGAGATTAAAACTATTGGACTCCAAAGAGCCACCTGGTCTGCTTCAGAAAACCTTTAAATAGAAGGTAAGAACACTTCTTAGTTCTCCCCCAGTCTGTAGGAGGATAATGTCTTAGCGAAGTGGGAAGAGCACACCTACACCTTCTCCTAACCTCACCATAAAAAAGAAACTGATGTGGCATATTAAGGCAGAGGAACAATTTAAATGCAAATGAAAAAGTTGTCACAATTTAATATTAATAAAAATCCAATTTCCTACTGAATTTGTGCACTGAAAAGACATTCAGGGTACCTAAAGGACAGCAAAAGACTACTTTCTTGAGCTAAATGAGTCTTCTTGATATCATAGAGAAATTGGGAAATACAGTAAGAGTCTTTAAAAAGTGGGATTCTGCATGGAATATTCTGAAGTTTTGGGCTGAAAGACAGGAAAGGAAATTCACACTTGTCCAACGAACTGGGAAAATCCCTTACTTCTGGTAGGTTAAGGTACCATGGTAGAGAAGGCAATCTGATATTCAGCTTCCTATCCACCAGGCTGACAATCTGAAATAGAACACTTACTTAAGAAAATGTGCACAGTCAATTAATTCAGAAAGTTTTTCTGTCTTCTTGTCCCAGATTTCCACAAAATGGCTGTTTTTCTTTGCCAAGTAGATGGATTTGTCTATTGCTATTGAAATAATGTTTGCATCACTGTAAGCATTATGACAGAACCTAGAAGAGAAAACTCCAGTTAGATACACAGAAAATAGTAGAAAAATTTGACTACTATGAGTGGGATTAGTTTCCCTCTGACTCTTGCAGAATCATTCAACCTTAAAACCAAACTATTCTAAGATACAACTGAAAGGCTTTGCTTTAATCTTCCTACAGTTTGACATAAATTCTCACAGTAACAGCGTTAGGCTGATGACATCCTTGGAGGCACATTAATGCTCAAAGTCTATTAATAAATCTTTCTCATCAAACACTGTTTTCCCTGCTCAGGAAAAGCTTCCCTTAACTTCAGAGTAGGATTTGTCCATGTGAGAATTACATCAAACACTCCCAAACCCTCGGACAATAATTTCTAAATAGTGAGAAGTCAGCAATCAGACGTGATTAAATAGGGCAAAGATATGCACATTTATCATACTGATAAACATGGAAGGACAAATACCATGATAAATATATATGTGTAATTCTAAGTAAAGTAAACGGGGATTTTAGTGGACAAGGCCAACTGGAGAAGGAAACTGATCAGTTGCATAGATACTGACTTCAATCCTTTATGGAGTAAAAATGTATTTCCTTGTTTAAAAGCAGCAACAAATACTTTCAACATTACTCACTGATACTCCATCTGCATTATGGAAAGAAAAGAACAGAAACAAGCAAACTCAAAGAATGAGCTCTAGAACAAGACATTACATCAAAGTACTGTCAGAAATCTTTAAAGTAACATCACTTATAAAAATCAAAAACTTACAGTTGACTTGTCTTTGTTTCAATGAGCTTTTGAACAGAGAAGTCACTGGTTAAGGCAATGATTTTTGTTCCACAGCCTCCCCAGATTATGTTTTTTTCAGATAAGCATGAGGATTCATTTAAGCACATCAGGGGTGTGCTAACATTCCCTATAGTCAATATCTTCAAAGGTGTTGCACCCTTACACTGCAAGAAAAAATATACTCTGCTTTAGAAGCAAGGAGGATTTAAACACTGAGAATCTTGTTAAAACAAGGCCACACAGCCTGCTGAATTAAATTTACACATCCAGATTTTCTGATGTCTCAGAACATTTCCAGAACGTTACTGACTGAAAAGCACCATATTCCCGTTATAAATGTCCCCTAGGAGACAGACTGTGAGCAGAAACAGGCCAGAGAAGGGACTGACACTTTCTGCAATCCCTGGCACAATTCAGTAATTGGTTGGAAAGACACATCTATGTCTTTGAAGACATCCTACACCGGACCATATTCTAATTCTGAAATGCACCGCAGCCCCATAACTGCCCTAAATGCATATTGTCAGGAACTAAACCTTCAGGTGCCAGCTGATATAAACAGCTCCCAGCATTTCTTCATCTGTTCTGTGAGCAGAACTCTGATCTACAGAAAACCTGAACAATATTACATTTTTGAACAGAGCTGTTTTACAAAAATTTACTAAATGAGAGGAAAAAGGAGCTATTACAGCAATAAATAAAGGAGATTAAAACTATGAGAATATTCTAAACAACAACCAATAATGTCAGTCCCTTGCCAGTTTTCCAGCCCTTTCAAAGGAATTTTTCACCTCTTAACTCTTGTTTAAAGCAGTTATTGTAAAATGCGCAGTTCCTCTCAGACTGCACTAGAAAATTAATTCAGGTTTTAGAGAAGCAATTAAAAATAAGTGGCATGAAATAAAGCTACTCTTGGTAGCTGCTTTAGATATTGCTGATAACATTCTGTAGAACAGACAGAAAAGAACAAGTCTACCTTTACTGCTCTGTCTTCAAAAACTGCCAGCCTGCCATCAGCTGTGCCTACCAAGAAGAAATTCCTCTGTTTGCTGAAATAAAATAAGATAATTAATTCTAGAAATGCCTTAATCAGGTAATAAAAATTAAAATGAGAAATCTCTAGTATTTCAAGTATTCAATTCAACGCTAAAAGGAAACACAACCCCTGTGACATTGAATGTAGTTCTCAGTTGCACTGGGTGCAAAATTAAGTGGAAACACAGGCAAAACAAGGAGTTATCAGAACAAAAGTGCAGAGTGTACAGATGTAATTTTCTGAACACTTTAGTTTAGCAGTATTTTCAAAATGTAACCCAAAACATTTAAAAACATTTCAAAAAACATTTAAAATTCATTTATACCTTTGCTTTGAAAGAGAATTGCAGTATAAACAAGTGATAGAATCTGACATTTTCTGCAGACGATGCCTTCTTGTTTCATCTTCTGTGTTAACTGCCCACAGAGAACCAGACTGGGTTCCTGCTACAATCCAGTTTTCTTTCTCAGTAGGAAGCGTCACTAAGGCCAAACTTATAATTTTACTGTCTGCAATATCCTGAGTCAGAAAAGAAGAAGAAAAACAACTTGGTCATGATTTCAGTAATGGTAAATGCTAGTAAATTACTGATGATAAAAATAAAGCACAATCTTCCTGGACTTTGGACAGAACCTTGGCCTAACTTCCCCTTTAAGAAATCTAATTCCCTATTAGCAGCATACATCATCATCATCTTTCTTCCACGTGCTGAGAAGGACCCCATAAACAGTACACAGGAAAATCTCTCAGCTGAATGCTGACAAAAAAGATATTCTTTCTATTCTAATCAAGATCTTCAAGCCATCAGAGAACTGAAAAATGGAACTACTGCAATACTAATTGCTAACAATAAAAATACTGGCCAGTATTTCTTTATCTTATTTTATTTTTAGAAAAACAACCCATTGAGATGTATCACAGTCAAGAGATGGCAGATGGAAATATAACTGAAACAACTTTGATGATGAATCATGCTCAATTCTGGAACATATATTCATCACAGCACATCAATCCTGGATAAAACCTTTCCCCTTTGCTGATGGGACAGGACTGAGATCTACCAAAATCAAATGAAAAGAGCTGGATGGCATCACCAAAGTGGCATAGAGAGATGGCATTTGCAGGAAGGGAGAAGTTGTTAAGAGACAACCTGAATTGTTAAAAGAGTTAGAGATATGAAGGTCTGCCTATTAACTCCTTTGTGTGGTCTCCATGCTAGAAAGTTTCCGCCTCAGTAGAAGAAAGTAATCCAGTAGTGGAAAGACAGTATTATGAGAAAGTTCAGGTTGGATAACAGGAAGAGAGTAAATAGCAACTGCTTTTCTACTTCATTTCATGGATACAATGACTCACTCACGAGCAATCTTTGTTCTCAAAACTCAGCTTTCCAGAAGTAATATCCTGCTGTAAAGACGCAATTAATTTTTCCGAAATACCTCTGTCTGCCAGAACAAATAGAATAAACGTCAGCTTTCCCACATACCTCACAAGTATGTCCATCTGTGTTCAGGTTAACAAATGAAAGCTGTGCCTTTTCTGTGTTCCCATTGCCTATCCAGACTCCTGCCTTCTTGCAGCTTTGATTGGCAGCCACCATGCACTCTGCTGTAGATGTGCTGGGTATTGAAACATACCTCATCAAACAGATAAGCTCTGCAGAATTCAGGATCTCATAAACCTAAAAAGAAAGCCACAGCATGCCCATGGTAACAACAATGGCTTGTCGATCCATAAATAATAAGCAATGGATAATATAATTTTTTAGATATGGACAAAGTAGCTCAGCAGGCCTGGTCACTTGTATTGCCACAGAGCAGTGTGTAACTGCACTGATTTAACAAAGTCTTTATTGCATAGCTCTAGTAAATACCAAGAAGTAATCTGAATTGTGTTTCACTACAATTGCTACACAGCAACACAGGGAAAACAGTGAGCTAGAACACGGGGTTGGTAGATTTCAATGGAACAATTTATTCTGGATGGCAAGAGCAGGCAGTATTTCATGGCAGTTTCCATTACAGAAAAGAACAACAGAAAGAAATGTGTGCTTCTCATTAACTTAATGCCTGATTCCTTTTCAGAAACCACAACTTTGTACTGCCATCTATCATAAAAAACAAATAAATATACTAAGTAATACCTGGCAAGATGTTGGTCGTTCCTGAGGGTTTTCCTTCAAACACTTTTTAATTAAATTTTCAACTTCAGGCCAGGGAGAACACCCATATTCTTTGACAGGATCTAGAATGTAAAATTATATAACTTATTAACCAGCATTTACCATAGTTCTAAATAACTTTCTTATTTTTAGAATTCATCTAACTTATCTAAATATCATATTCTTAGGTAAAATGTCAGCATGAACAGCTTGGAATTGCTCATCTGCCATTATATGCTAGAGCATATAATGCTAGAACTAGTCTCCTTTTAATTAATAGCAATTAAAGCAAATGGATTTTGCTTTATCTTCTTCGTTGATGTCCGTGTGCCTAGGACTGAATTGCAGATATACATGGGTTGTGTTTCCATTAATGCTGACCATTCAAGGGTATGTCACTTCAGTCTTTCAAATTCCTGTAAACACTGTTTTCCACATTTACTCTTCTGAGTATAGGGAATACAGGTGATCTTACAATAAAAAATACAGCAAACAGATAAACAACTCCATATAGCATTTACAAGATATGGAAGTTTAAATTCCCACTTAGTGCTTGGAATATGTATCTTATAACTATGGCTGCTGAACTCTGTGAGAACAAGTCATTCCTGACGGTGCCTGTATTGCTTTTCCTTTAAGTTCATCATAATCCACAGCAAATATTCCAGTCCTCACTCAGACAGACAGACAGTAACATTAGTGATAGATACTTGCAAATGAACATATTCAGTGCAGCAAAAGACAGGCACTGTTTACTTATGAGAACAGGCAGCCCCTCTTTTGGTGGAAATAAATAAATGATGAGCATAGGTGGATGGAACTGTACTATCTCCAGAAACGAATACCTCAATTATTCCACAGGGCTTATAATACAGTCAATACAGCTGCATTTAAGAGATACTCAGTCGTCAGCTCCTGGGATATCCTCTTTAGGAAGGGGGAAGAAACTGTCTTGAGCTTTGAACTAGACTGTTCTCCTTAAGGAGCAGAAAATGTGTGAACACTCAGTCTCTCATAATGGAGAAGCCATGCCAGACTGAGTGATGCTGCTCTTTCCTAAATGAAGCAAAACATTCCTTAAAGAATGTTTCATGAGGATACCCACTATTGATGGGCAATAAATAAGAACACCAGACATTAAGCTTGCAGTGCTATAAAAATTCAACAGCTCTTGACACTTTGGCAGAAGTGGTCCAAAGTTACGTTGTCCTGAGTTACATTGTCCAAATGATTACATCATCTCCAGCCTGATAGCCTGTTTAATCTTCCTTCCAGCAGCCAATAATTATAAATTGTAATGCAGAAGGAATATGAAGAATGTTATATTTTTCAAAGTCTCCTTCTATGATCACTGTTAGATACAGTGTAACCCATAAGATATGCTATTTCTGGAAGAGGCAGGACAAATGCTAAAACTTTTTACGAACAAGGCATACCTGGTAATTTTCCTTGTATTGCTAGTTCATCAAATTCATTTGGAAACTTCAAGCCTTCCATTATTCTACCTCCTCCTGTTAAAATGTCATAAAGCAGCAAGCCAAATGAATAAACATCAGCTTGCTGATTGTAAATAACATTTCCTCTGGCAACCTCTGGCGCTCGAAATCCTGCAAATAAATCACTCATAAATAAGTATGCTTCATATCAAGATGAAGCCATCTTTGTATTTTAAAAAGTAAATTATTGATAAAAATGACACAGGAAGTGCAAGGAAAAACATCAAACTATTTCTGGGCTGGCAATAGCTTTTTGGCAGATGTCCAAAAATATCAGCAGTAAGTACAAAGAAAAGGGATAGTACATCAGTTACACAGCTCCTGCCCCTGTTAATAAAAAATAATTACTTTATCAATGAATTCTGAAAGTCAAGCACAAGCCTGCAGTCTTAATTGAAGGTATAATATTTAACAAGTGATGCTCTCAAGCACAGTTTACAAGACTTAAAGGAACCTTTCAAAGTGGTTGATTTGTTCAGTGCTTTAGAATGGATGCTAATAGGTTCTCGCTGAAGTTGGGGAACAGTGAAGATATTTATTGCCTCTAAAAAAAATTAAGACTTACATACTCATTACTGGAAATTAAAGCAAAATATTTTAGTAGTGTAATTTCAATATCACAATAACCATATTAAAACAAGACAATTAAAAATTATTATGAATACATGTAATTTAATTTCTTCTTCTTAAACCTTTAATATACCCCTTGATTCTTCTAAAAGGTGTTAAAACATGAACAGGTGGAAAGGCCAAGAGGTAAAAATCTGGCATCACAACTTGTAATATGATTAGGACTACTTTTTGTGACTTTTGACTAGAATACAGATTTGAGTTACTTCTTACAGACTGCATGAAAAATATATTAGCTATTTTTTGACATAATGGACTTTAAATCAAATCATATCTCCATACCTGGTGTGCCTTCGGAGGTTTTTATTCCCATTCGGCAACAATACTGGGCAATGCCATAGTCAGCTATTTTTGCAATAACAGCTGAGTTGGGATATAAGGTAAAGAGCAACACATTGTGAGGCTTTAAATCACGGTAGATAATCATTGCTGAATGCAGGTACCTAGTAATCAAAAAATATTTATTGAAAGCATTCGTAAGTTAGGGATGCATCTGTATACACACACTGAGTGCATTATTCCCACAACAGTAAACTGTGCTTTCACACATGAAATATTGTGTTAAAAATGTCAGCATCACCAACATGACACAGCCTTTCTGGATAATGACTTTAGAATTGTTCTCAAATACTATTTACTGTTTACACTGCATTTTGGTATTTTAGTACCATTGCACTGTGCCAGTATTTTAGTACCATTGCATTGTATTTTAGTATCAAGTTTCATCTGAAGAGTCACTGATAGTTTGAAAATGCATCCTAGAACCTTAAGCTTAACTCTCTTGCAGGTTTTGTAATTTTAAAGTCACACTGCAATGAGGTGAGGTGATTCATGGACTTTCAGAACTTGAAAAATGCACTAAATTAACTTATTTGACATTTCAGCATGAAATTAACAGCCACATGGAAACTGTATCCAGTCTTGCAATTTCTCTATTCATATGAGCATCACTTATTAGCAGGAAAAAAAATCCAGGTGATGAAAGTATATATTACATATCAGCCAATCAACCATAAAAATACAAGCATTTGTCTGACCTGGGAAATATTCTGCCTGAGATGTGAGAGAACAGAAGCTTTTCATTTGCAGTATAACATCTTTGAAAATATATCCTCTTTTTACAGCAATGCAGAAGTCACATTTACCTTAAGCCATCTGCTACATGTAGAGCTATCCTGTGCTGAAGTGTTCTAGTTAAACTTGCATTGTCTTGTTGAAGCAAACGATCAAGAGATCCTTTGAGGGCCAATTCCATCACCAGCATCCGGGGACGGATTGCGGCAGCCAGCAAAGACACTAAACTGGGGTGGTGAAGGTGACAAAGCACTGCAAGCTCCTGTAAAGGGTAAAATCAGATGAAATGGTGCAAATAGCATAATCTCTATATCTGAAGTAAACTGAGGAATCTTTTGGAGTGAGGACTTGCAATTTACTTAAACTTCTAGAACTCTTCACTAGGGCTGGTATTCCAAGAGCAGCACTAGAGAACAAAAGGCAGTATTTCTTACTTGTCTTAGGAGCCTGAGGGAAGTATGTTTATTGAAAATCTTTACAGCAACCTCTTCACCACCATAGGATGCACGGTACACAGATCCAAACCCACCATCACCTTTTGAACAATAAAATTGAATAGCATTATAAAAAAGGGATAACAATTTGTCCAAAATAATAGCTGAAAGAATTCAGTTTTAAAATATGTTGATCATCTACTGTGTTAAGATTCATGATCAGTAAACTAAACACATAAAAACCAGTGTCCTAGTGCACAAGTTAATGGAAAATTCAAAACTCAATAACTTGAAATTCAGAATACCTTAAAATAATACATTTCTTCAGAAAAGAAATCTCTAAAATGCTTTTCATATGTTGCAGAACTAACTTCAATAGAGTTGTTTGCATAATCTCTGTTAAAGAAACCCCACCACACAAAATAATGCTTACCTAAGAGAAATTCAGGAGCTTCATCAAATTCCAGGTCATCATTGTTCAACATAATATTTCTAGGCAAATCAGCCAGTATCAGATCAGGAGCAATCTGAGCAATTGGAATGGTCTGTCTTGGTTGGTCTGGATTTACCAAAAGGTCACCTTAGAAAAACGAAAGAGAAAATGAAAAAGAAAGGAAGGGTAGGCATCACTAAAAAGTACTGAAAGGCATGAAGATCTCCAAGAATGCATAAGATCAATGTACCTAAAATTAGATTCATATATGTGCTTACATATATCTATATATGCATAGACACAGACATACATACTAATTAAGCTTGCCATTCAAATTCTTGGCTCTTACATGTTTAAGTGTTTTCAAGGTTCTATATATGTACCAATCAAATATGAAAACATTTGCTGCTATGTAACACCACTAAACTAACCAAGAGATCATTGTTTTGTCTGTAAAAGGAAAGAATGCTGTTAGTATGTAGAATGCAATACTGAATATTGTTTTTTAAATTACTGTGCTATGTGATCCAACCAAGAGATCAAGTATTAGTTTTACTGTCTTCTGGATTCAGTTCCAAGATTGAAGCTTCATTATCAGTATTAAGACAAAATTATTCTTTCCATTATTGCTATTTTTATGTAACTACACAGAGTAGATGCAATTTATTTCATATTCTATACTTATATATACTAGATAGCTCTCACATACAAAACCTCCCAAGTTGCTTTTGACTTACGCTGTGATGTTTTCTTACAGAAATGAAACATTCTTAAATAGCATGAAGTACCCAAATGCTACAAAGGGGATGTTGCACAGTATTTGGGTAGATACAAGTGTACCTCTATATACCTCAAATGGCATAAATATATACCTTCTTCAGCCTTCCTAAGCAAGTCATCAAGCAGTATTTTTTGGTGTTCTTCACCATCTTGAAAGCTGTACAGGGCCCATTTCTTCAACAATGTTTCCCCTTCACCACACACATCTATTTCCAACAAACCTGGAAACCATTCTTCCATAAGAGAATCTATGTGATCCACAACTTGCCCCAAAAGAATGCACCCTTTAAGAAACAAAAAGAGGGAAATTACAGACCCAATCTACCATAATTTCAATTGCAAAGATAAACTTTATATTCCAAAGGCAAAAGCACAACAAACCAAAATGCCAAGCTGCAATCAAACTGGAGCAAAATTCAGGCTCAAGAATAATTAACCTTTTCTGCAAGAAGGTGCTGTAATTTTCAAAAAACTGTCTGGGTTGTTGTCAAATACTGCTGATTCCACCAGACAATAAGCTTCAGGAGACCAGTTCAAGTAGATGCCTTGTCTCCAGTACATTCTGTTAGGACGAAGAGCTCGCTCTAGAAAATAAAAAATTAGATTAAAAGCCTGATATCCAATATGAATGTAAATTTTAAAATATTCAGAATATTTCATGGTAATTTGAATATATAGTTATGATTGCAGGGTTACACCTACCCAAACAAGATAGAGGCTACAACCTTGCAGGCAGCATAGCCCCACAAAAACTAAACATATGTCAATTTGTGTTCAGCTGCAGAAGAATACTTACAAACTGTAAGTATTTAATCAGATGGTAAGTCATGCAGCAGGTAGGCATTACAGAAATGCTTAGGTACATTCAGGTTCAAGCACAGAATATCTCAGGCAAAATATGGAAAAAGCTGTGATATAAATTTTTCCTGTCACATACTCATGAAATAGCAGGATGCAACTGGAATTTGATGCTCAGAAGAAACTTGAATGCCTGGACATTAGACATTTACAAGTAATATTTGTAAAATATTATTAGCATGTGAAAGCATGGAATTCTCAGAAAAAAGTAAAGGCATTTCCCCTCCTTCTGATAAATACAAAGCTTTGAGACTTAAATAAAGTGAGAAATAATGAACCTGAAGAGAAGCAGTTTGCTTTTCTGTGTGGAAGACATATCCCTTCCTGTATTTTTTGTGGAAGCAAATAGCAATATTGCATAAACATGAGGATTTCCCCTATCTCTAGAATGTGAAGGAGAGAAATGGACCACTTCCAACCTTTACCTTCTTTTGCATACCACTGTGAAGATCAGGCACTATCTTCTTCTGGATACTTCTGTTACACAAATGACCACTGTCTTTTTCTTACAAGTGTTCAGAATTTAGCTAAAGCAAAACAGTGCTGGGGACTAAAGCTTTAAAATGCTGGTGTTGGCATTCAAGGCAAACTTGCACACTATTCCTTTTGAAGATTAAGATTTGTACCTCTTCCTGATAGCATGTAAGGTGATATCTCAAGCAACCTGTTGATCAGCCTGGACCAAAATCCCATAGGAAAGTATGGCATCTCATAAAGTCTGATGATAATTTCTGAATTTTCACAGTGGGGAAGCTCTATAACAGGTCTGTGATCAGACAAACTGAAAGAATAAAAATATTAAGACAGTATTTGATGATGTAATATATCTGAGCTAATGACATATATTATTTATCATGTAAAATGCATTATTTATTAATGAATGCATGATTCTGTTAGTCAGGGAGCTAACAGATAGTGTATTTGTTTATTCTCCTTGCTTGTGTCAAAGTGAAGTTCTGACTGTAATTTAAACCCAACAGCACCTCACAGATCATCAGATATTTAATGTGAATATGAGGAAAATCTGAGACATACATAAGGCAGGTTAGACATTCAGATAAAACCTTCCTAACCCAGGGCTTTGAAGGACATAAAAATCCTAATCAGTGCAGCCGTGCAACACTCTTTCCATTTGGCAGCATAAATACTACTGAACACATTAGGGAAATCTGTAACTGAGGCAGAGAAACTGAGTTATCTGCTTCAGATAAAACAAAAGTCAAAGTCATGACACTTTTTTTGTCACCACATTTAGTATCTACACTTTTTGAAGGAGATACTGCCTCTGAGTAACTCGTCTGTGGTTCTCACTTCACACAAATAGGTTATGGAAATGTTTTATTATCTTTTGTATTGCAATAAATATCTGTAATGCTGGCACACTTGTGTATGACACTAAATTATAATCTCCTTGCTGTAGTCTTGAAGTATGGTAATTGTAAAAGAAGTGCTATTCTCTTAAAATATTCTATCATTTATAGTTTCCATTTACCCACCATACTGATACAACATAAGCTTTATCTGCTACAAGATCAGCTTAATGTATCTCTTCTGAAAGTATTTACTAAATATAATATACAAAGAGTACATCATGCTTTCATGTACCAAAAATTGCTCTGATGATCAGTGAAACTAGTTAGCCTGATGAGAGGTTTCTATTTTGATCTATCTTCATGGCTGTCATTTGTGACTTTAGCTCCTTGCTTACCTGCTTGGGATTAGTAGTTGGTCCTCTCCTAATGGCAAAGCAATCTGAAATTTTTCCAGAAGTTTAAAATACTGTGACATATAGATTTTAGGGAACTTGCTCTTCTTCAAAAGGAATTTTTCCACATCTGAACGCTTTACAATTCCCTTAGGGTATTTAGAAGAGCCTTCAACTTTCACCATCAGAATCTTTTAAAAAAAGTGAAACAATTTCAGGTGTACATTCATCATTAGATAAAAGTTTCTAATGAAGTTTCTAATGAAAGTTTCTAATGAAAGAGGTTAGAAAATCTGAATATATAATAAATTTTGAGAGTGTTTCTAGAACAACATTTCAACTATGGTATCACTTAAGCAGTCAGTCTGCTGCTCTCCCATTCCAGCTCCTTATCCACTCACTTTTCTCTGCCATCTGTACGTAGCATACAATTATAATTCTTCCCCCTTCTTACAGCCTTTAGCCCAAAGTTCCAGCTTTCATCCCAACCTGTGGCAACATATTGCAGGATTACCTTGCATCTGTGGGGATTTTCTATTCTACATGTATTCTTGTGTCCATTGCAGTTTAAATTATATTGGACATTACAATGCAAGAACAGACAAGCAATGACACAGTCAGCTGTCCAGAAAGCAACAGACAGAAAGAACCAGGTAAAAAAATGTGGGTCTTGAGAAAATTCTAGATCTTGAAACAAGAAAGAAATGGTGAAGAAGGAACACTGATGAGTTACAGTGGCTTTAGACAGGGAAAAATGTACCATAAATGTATACACAAAAAGTGATCAGTCTGACCTGTGCCATGATTTTACACAGCCACTTTGGATCTACGAAATACAGATCTCTTAGCTGTAGTGCTGGGTCTTGGAAATGAAGAAGAACACCTGCACAAAGAATACTGTAATTAGCAATGCATTGCTCAAGATCAATATTAAGCAAAGTAAGCACTCCACTCTGGGCTATTTTTATTATATGATTTGGCATAACAAATACAGCTATATTTATGTCGGTATCTCAAAACAGTAGAATGCAAGCATGACTTGCTCAGCTTTACCTTTATTTTCAGACTTTTTGTTAGATTTTTAATGTGACTTGTTTTCTTTGCTAAGCTCTGTGTGGTTTATTATTTAATTTTAGGAAGTAAATACTGTACTGAGATAAGCTGTTACATGTGTTCCTCTGACCACTATTCTATTTGAGCTATTGGAGCAGTTTTCAAGGAGGGGTAAGAGAGAGCAAGAGATATAAACTGTTACAGTACTGATCCTTCAAGTCATGGAATTCCCTTCCTAACACTGTGGTTTAACAAACTAATGTTACCCAAGCTTAGACACTTCAGCTTACCATTTTGTGGCAACCTTGTGAAAGACTTAAAAACATGTACAGATCTATCAGCTGCAGATTTAAAGCAAAGTGCTAACAAACACACATCAAAGAGAATATTTTACCTGATTCATTCAGAAAGTGAATTGCATGAGGGAGTTCATTTTCATCCAGCTGTAACTGGCCTTCCTGAACCAGTTCCAGCAAACGTTTCTGATCAATTACAGGAAATTCCCCTGGGACATTTTTACGTTCCAGCAAAATTCTCTTTTCCAGCTCCAGGTAGCTGTCAGGAATTAGCTGACCAACTACTGGTTGATCTCTGATCTGTAAAATTAGGAATAATAATATTAAATGTGTTAATTTATTCATTTGAAATGCATAAAATATAACTAAGATATAAAGTGTATGTCCACTCAATAGTAGCAGAAAAGAACAAGAACACTCATTTATTGACTAACATGGTCAATAAAGGTAGACATAAGTAATTATTTTTTCAGAATTATAATGTCTTTCTATAAATAAATACTCAGAGAAGAAAATATTTCCATATTACTTGTACATAATAAATAAAGGAGGTTTCTCAGAAGACATTATTTCAAAGAGAAGCTTTGGTTCAAAGTAAAAAGAAAATATTCACTGTATGAGCAAATGATATACATCTTCAGTTAAGACAAAACAATAGACAAATTAATAAAAAAACCCTATACTTCTTGTAATATGCAATATCTCTAGCTGTGTTTTTAGGTAAACTGGGGGGAAGAGGGTAGTAGCTTGATTAAAAGTCTCCACTGTTGGCAGTCAGTGGACAAAGAGTAGAATGAAATAAATTTAGCCACATGAGTGACACAAATGGGTGCTTTGTGCCTGTTTCCTGAGCCTCTGTTCCTTTGATATTTGGTAATCACTAGTACCCAGTCAGGCTTTCCTTTCTCCATGCGTGCTGACCTACTAACCTTTCTGAGGAAATAGGAAACAAGTTTCCCAATATTCACAAACTGGCTTCTTAACTGCAATCATTCTCTCACCAATGCACTGTGATGTTTTTAATGTGTCAAAAATATAATCAGTACTTGTGCAGATGAAATTAGAACCTTATGTAATTTCAAAGACTTCAGAGTACTTTATGACAATGTTAAATACTTAATTCACTTTGTCTAACCTCTAAGTAGATATCGTGTAACATTCCTTTCACAAACCACCTATGTCATTTACGGTAATTATCTCATTTCCTTCAGGCCACCTTACATATGTATGGAAGTATAAACATCAGTTTAAGTCATAGTCTCAAGAGATGCAGACATTAAAGGAAAAACATTTTTCAAAAAGCAGAACGTCTCTGGAGTGTTGAGTAAGGATGGTGGGACACAGAGCCACATAAAAACACCAGCTCTATTTATGCCTACTGGACGTATGAGAAGAGAAATTAACCCATTTCACTTGAAGAGGGCACCTCCTTGCCATTTAGGACTGGTTAGCTGTTCCTTGCACTGTGGAATAAAGTTAAGGAGATTTTGGATATGGCTAAATTGCTAATTCCTGAAAGAACCAAGAGAGGTGTGTACACTTTAACTCATTTGTAACACCACTGGGGTGAGGCTAGTCATAAATACTTCATTTGCTCTATAAAATCTTCCCAGCAGTCATTTGAAAGAAATTTGGGTTCTGGAATGATTCATGAAGCTCTGCCATTGATTTAAGTAGCACAGGACGTCACCTTTTCTCTTTAATGTGTAAGGACATAAATGAAAAATGTGTTGCATAAATAAAAAAAAAAAAAGTATATCCTTTTGTCACAGATGAGATTCTGTCTTTCTATAAGCTCCATGCCTGGGCTGACCTCTTCACTCACACTAAGGGCTTTATGCTGTAGCTAAGGCTAGAGCAGAAAATGAGTTGGGATGACCTTGGAGACAACAGAATTACAAGTGCAGATACTCCAATCTAGGAGGATCACTCAGCCCCCACAGGATCTTCTTTTCCTAGTTTAATTCACTTTCCTGTTTATAGAAATAGTTTCATGTTATGTAAAATGAAATCAGTAAATGGAAAACTGATTGGTTTTCCCAACCAATATCTTATTTCCCAAACTACAATATCTTATTTCCTGTCCCCTGAAATTTTGCAATACTTACTGTAATTACATGATGTTGCCCAAGAAACCAAGGTTTTAATTAAATTTCTTTATAAGACAAAGAGGCTCATTTTTAATTAAATACTTGATTTATGGCCCTAGTGTTTGAAAACAGAACTTAGCTAGGTTTTTTAATAAGTTGATTTTTTGGTAAGAAAATAAAATTAAAACAAGCCTGGCAATTTTCATTCATTATTCTGCTGTGTGTAACATTTTATATAAGGTAATATGACTTTACTATCACACATAAAATTTATTTAACTATGCATTAATGTTCAAAAATGCATTCACTTAAATAAAAAAAGGTTTTGAATGTTTTCAACATTAAAAACAGCATGTAGCCTACCTTGAAGTGAAGACTCTCCTTTATGATGATTTTCCGAAGTCTGATAATGGAATCAGATTCCTCCGTAGCATTGACAAAGTGGTAGTCCTGGATTGCTGGGAAGCCTCGCTTGTTCAACAGCTCTCTAGTAATTTTACTCATGCAGGCCTTACGTTGTATTTCATCAGAAACATCCAAATGAGTGCCAACAAGGATGACAGGGGATGTTGATGCTCGAGCCTGTCAGTGAGATCCATACTATTGATTAACGAAATAGTTATGTTGATTTTATTGTTTTATATTCATATAAAATGTGATCAGTTTAGTGAAGCATTCAGAGAGCTGTCTATTTCAAAACAGAAATATTAAAAAATCAGCTTTTTCTAAATGGAAGGAGTGTACATCTGTATTTCATTCTTTGCAGATTAACACTATTGGCAGTAAAACAGAGGGACATTATTTACGAAGACCATCCAAAAAAATGGAAAAGCCAAAAGAAATGGTACTTTGCTAGCTGTTATTGGAACAAGGCAGTAGTGAAACATCAGCAAGTACTGCATAGCAAAGAACGCATCAGAAGTGATTTTCATCAACATTATTCTGACTGTAATGCTGTGTCTGTATCACTGCCCATGGTGAAAAGAGTGAAAAAGACAAGTTCATCAACAGGATCAGTAAACAAACTCTTTATGTGAGTGTATTGCCCAGTCATGGCTAAGCATCCCAGACAAAGAAAAGACAAGTAATGCTCACTCAACATGGAATGGCTCTACAAATGGAAATAAACACTAGAAAAATTGAAAAATATACAGGCAGATTCTCAGTTCAATTCCCTACCATAGTTCTGGAATAATTCCTATTAATAATATGATACTAAGCATACACTTAATAGCATGATTTCAAACCTCTATCTAGTCAGTTTTAAATTAGTCTAATTCTGACTTCCCCAACATTTTTACTGGTGTAAAAGAAAAATGCAAGTTTAACTCATTATTTTTTAATACAATTCCATTCTTATTTTTATCAGTAAATTCAAAATATTGCCAGAATATACAAACTATTCTTTTGCACATCACTTTGTATAATTTTAAATCCAAAACTGTGCTGATCATGTCTTTTTATGTCTAAAACTACTTTCATATCCAATACATGATGTATTTCAGCTCTTGTTTAATATTACTATTCTTACTTTCTGAATTTTTTTTTTCCCTTCTTCCCCTATATAAATATTTATGGCTAATTTGCTGTTCACCTACAGCTTCCTGGAAAGGGAAATTCTGTCTTACCTTGATGTTAAAAAGCCATGGCTTCATAGCATCCACCTCTGCTTGTCCTTTGCTGAGATCATAAACAGCAAGATATAAAGCCCTCTGGGTCATGAAATGAGGATGGGTACTGTAGAACTCTTCTTGTCCTAATGATCAAAAATTTCCATTGTTTTGTACTTCCTTGACTGAACATCTTCAGATCACAAAAAAGCAGAGGAACACGTCCCCAGACCACAAGTTCACAAATGAAATCAATGTTTGCAGAAATGTATATAAATTGACAGGAAGCCATAATAACTATGAATTTTAGGAAGGCACTCTGTGATTGACTGAAGTGTAATGTTAAGAAACATATGCTGGTTTTATATCAAGTGTAATATTTAACTGGATAAACATGGTTTCTGCATAGACAACTTAAAAGATTGTGATTCTTTTAAAACTCCAGTACTGAATTTCTCCCTCATTCTTTCCTTTTCTTCTACCTTCTTCCTTTCCTTTCTCCTATACTTGCAGCAACTTCAAAATAAATTCACATAATTAAGCACTTAAAAATACAACTAAAGCTGGACATTCAGCTTGAATGGCACTGGTCTGTGCTTATGCATTGTGATAGACTGTATGTAGATGATGATAGACCTCTGTTTAAAAATAACTTTTCTACGGCCTTAAATAGCCCTGGATTTTAGAAGTGCTTTTATAGTCCCCCAAACTCAGAAAGTTTTCCAGAAACACAACGTTCAAAGACCCATCCTAAATGCTGTGTTGTCTGTGACCTTACAAACCTGTGATACTGCAGAGCCTAGAGAGACCTGGACTACAAAAGGGAGAAACAGAGTTGAATGAAAGTTTCTTCTGGTGATTACAAGCAATTTCTTACTATTCTGAAAGATTATTCTGAAGTATTATAGTTGAAATGAGTGGTCAAACCTCATTTGGTGATAAAAAATTCCTGAGGCTTTATATTAAATTTGAGGGATTAGTTGCTAATTTACAGAATTTGCTAGTTTATAAGTGGTTGTTGGACTTTTGGTGTACGTTTGTGATTCTAGTGTTCCCAGTTTAAATTATCACAGGCTGACTCTAAGAATAAATAATGCATTAAAAAGCTAGAAAAGACAAGAGCAAAGGAAAATAAACTCAGGAAATACCTCCAAAGTCCCACACATTTAATATAAGCTCCTTCTTCATTTTGCCTTTCCCTTGAATGATCCAGTCTTTTACATCAATGCCTACTGTCGCTTTTGGAGAGCCCAATTCTGTTCGTTTGCTTTTCATTAGTTGTTGGAGCAGGGTAGTTTTCCCACTGCCAGTGTTTCCAACAATCATGAGCTTCATTCTGTTATAAGGCACAGCCTTCTTCAGTCGTTGTTGAAGAAATCTGGTAGAAAAAAAATTGCAAAACTCACAGAAGTGTGTAACAGAAAAAGACTAACAGAACACAAGAACAAAGAAAAATCTAGAACTATACAATTTTATCAAATTTTCAGTATCTTTTTGATATTACTGTTCTTTTAACTGTCTACTCTAATTTCTGATTAGAAAGCTGAGGTTTAATTCAGAATATGTCTTTTTTGTTGTTGTTGTTTTGCAATTACCCCAAAACAGTGCTCTGTGCAGTGCGCTGCGGAACACAATAAACATATTACAAATTATTGGTAAGCACCATTTATTGCACAGCTTACAGAAGCATCAAATTCAAGAGGTAATACTAGTATGGTCTAAATCACTCTAATCTATTTTATCTCTGTGTGTTCGTATCATAACCTTCCACAGAGCAGCATACTGGATTTCATATGACAAACCAGCATGTCTTTCCAAAACAGCTTGTTACCTTCTCAATGCTTACTGCAAAAGAAAGCAAACCAGAAATATTCAAGAACAATAGGGCAACAAACCTGATAATGTCTCTGGCTTTGCATCCCACATGCTTGAAGTCTAAATTAAGATGGAGTCCTTCCAAAGGAAGATCCCAGACTTTGGACAGTCTTCCCATTTCATCAGGAAAGAATCTCAGATCAGGATTATGACTTACATCCAGAGAAGTCAAATTCTCTAGGAAGCCAATCTGAGGAGGAATCTAAATAAAAGAACATTTAATGGGCAATTAAATGTTTAAAAAAATGAGGAACATAAATACATTAATTATTTAACAGAACTAGTTATTCTTTTTACTGCTGTCGTTATTTTTTTTAATAAACAGGCCTAATATCCCACAGTAGGAGAGAAAAGACTTTATAAGTAATTCAGTATACAAGCTGTTTATATGATACATTCCAGTCAGAAAAGCTGAATAGAATATAGCGATTTTCCTTCACAGAGAGTACTATTTGCACTTACATACCATTTCACTAATACAAGGTACAATGGTATGAGAGGTGGCACAAAAATCAAATGAATATTTTAAAATTGCATTCAACTGAAAAGCAATTACATTTTCTTTAGGCAGAATCTTACACTTTACCTCCTTTAACTTGTTGTGGGAGAGGTGTAGCTTTTCTAGCCTAGACCATGCACATGCCTTTTCACTCAAGTCCAAGACATCTATTTGATTATGATTAAATAACAGCTCCCTTAAATTTAGTGATTTCCAGTGCATTGGTCCTGGCAGGCTTACGATCTTGTTTTGGCTTAAATCCACTGACCGCAAACTAAAAGCATGAAAATAAAAAAGAGAGAAGTTAGCAAATGAAAAAATAAAACCCAGCTTAGCTGGAACCAAAGCTGTATTAATTTTTAATAAACAAGCAGATTAGCTATCAGAAGAGATGGTTTTCAGAATTTGGATTTGGATTCTGAAATCCAATTGCAAATACATGTATGAGTAGAAATTACACAGTTCACCTATATCTATTGGACAAATATGCTGTTTACATTACCATGAAACATGAACCACACAAAAGTGCATGCAACAACACCTTAATTGGTCTGAGCCGGGAGATGCAGAACCTGAAAACTGGATTTTTTTTTAATATATCCATTAAATCTGCTGTGAATGTTAGCATGCTGTAATTGTGCAATATCATGTTAATTTCATTAATATAAATTCCCAGATCTGTGGATCTGCTCTCTCTATGGTGCCCTCAGCACTCACATCTCCCCACACCTACTGGATCATCCCTTCCAAGCACTCCCCCCACAATCTAATTCTAGTGATCTGTTAAGGTCAGCAATTTTTCTATAAAAAAAGCAGAAGTCCAATTTTCACATAAGTAATGCTTTGAAGGTATAGCAAAATAAATATCACATGCATCTTTATCACAACTCCTAGAGGAAGTGGTTTTCTTTGAGAGTAAGTATCCCATGTTATTTGGGAAAGTGAAAAACTAATCTCAGTAGTCTTGAGCAAAAGTCTGCAGAACTCAAAAAGGAAAAATTACTAGTATCTTTTTATTGTTGGTTCCAAGGAAATATGAGATTAATTCTAGTATTCTCAGCAAGAATTGTCAGCTTCAGCTGTCTAGGACTATTTTCAACAATAGCGATTTGAATCTGAGGAACAGAATTTTTCAGAATAATGAAGAAAATGTGACTAATTTGTCTTCAGTTTAAAAGCTACAAAGTTCTCATTCAACCAGTGAGGATTCCCTAAAAAATCAGTAAAACATGTTAACAACAATTTTGTCATCAGATTTCCTTTATCAAGAACTTGACATTAATATCAATGAATAAAAGAGCAACTTACTGTGGTAGAAGAAGAATTGCTTCTGGAACATTATTAAAACAATTCTGGGATAATTTTAAGCTTGTTATGCTGGATGACAAGTCAGGTATTTTTTCTAGAGCAGAAAAAGAGGTTAATTCTATGATCTTTAAAAATGATCTTTTAGACACACTAAAAGGTCAGTCTATTATTTTCATAAAAATGTTTCACCTACCAAAGGCAGAGTTCGAACCCTTTTTTTAAAGCTTATTAAAAACTAAACTGCCAAAAGTAATGTATTGGCTTTTAACAAATTATACATTTTTATCCTTCATCACCGAATGGCATTAAACACCAAAATAATCTTAATTACACTTTACTGTACTGCAAGTATACAAAAAGATTCCCATGTGACCTAGGATTTATTTGCTCTTATTTATCCATTCAGTCTCATTCATTCTTATAATAATGAGTCTAGTGGTTCAGCTGTGTTTAATGCAATTCTAAGAGTTATTTTCTGAAATAATGTGACAATAATTTCTAAATGGAAGATTTTGTCTTGAAGAAAGAATAAATTCTAACAGTAACTTATAAACTCTCACAGTATCATTGAAAATCTAATTTGTATAATTTTTAATTTGCATAAATAAAGTGATTTTGACACCTTTGCAAAAAATATGCTAAGCCACTGAAACACACTCTAGATGGACTCAATTCAGCTCCTTAACACTGGGTTCTAGTGTAGGGGATTTGCTCTGTGCTACCTAGCTGTCTGCACAAGGTTTAAAGATAAAACACAGGAGCTGTGGAAGACCTGCTTTTTCTGGATCAGATGCTGTAAGCCCAGGGGGATGATTCAGGGCATCTCAAATGACACCTGCATGTAGGCAACTGAATCAAACATTCACTCTTGTTCTGAAGATAATGCTGGATATAGTGTAGTAAGTATTTAATTACAGCATCATTTAGGTTGGAAAAGACCTCTAAGACCATTGTGCCCAGCCATTAACCCTGCACTGCCAACTCCACCACTAAAAGCTTAAAGTTTTTTAAATATCACATTTTTTAAATATCTTCAGAGATGGTGACTCAACCACTTCTTTGTGTAGCCTGTTCCAGTGCTTCCTTCAGTGAGGAAATTTTCCCTAAAACCCAATCTAACCCCCCAGGCACAACTTGAGGCCATTTTCTCTTGTTCTACTGCCTGTTCCTTGGGAGAAGAGACTGACCCCCACCTGGCTGCAGCCTCCTTTCAGGCAGCAGCAGGGAGTGCTACAGTTCCCCCTGATGCTCCTCATCACACTTGTGCTCTAGACCCTGCTCCTCTGCCCTTCTTTGGATTCGCTCCAGCACCTCAAGGTCTTGCTTGAAGTGAGAGGCCCAAAACTGAACACAGGATTTGAGTTGTGGTCTCACCAGTGCTGAGTAGAGGGGGACAATCACTGCCCTGGTCCTGCTGGACACACTATTGCTGGTACAAGCCAGCATGCATCTATGTATTACAGTACAAATTAAAACGAAATTAAAACCTGTATATATACAAAATTAAATCTGTATTAGTACTAGATTTGCAAGCTAAATGTGAATGATTTTCTATTCTTTGAAACTTCCTCAACAGTGTGTACAATCTCAAGTACACTCAATCATTTTTACAGCATCCATTGCAAATGTAGGAACATGATGAGTTAGGTGAGTCAGATCAAATGACTGGAAGCATACTCCTCTGCTTCAGTGATCAAAAGCTAATGCTCAGGACACCATATAAACAAGGACAAGTGCATGTGGCATTACTCTTTTCTGTTCTCCCAAGACTCCTAATGTTGGTGGCAGAGGAATTTTGTGACTTGGAATAGTTTCCAGAAGGTGAATCCTGTTTTCACAGATACTTACCAAGAACATTCATCCTGGCATTGAGCTGCTCCAGTTTTGTACAGCCCATGAAAACATTCTCAGCAAGGGATGAAATACTGTTCTTGCTAATGTTTAAAATCTTCAGGTCTTTCAAGCATAGAGGTGAACATAAGCATGAAATTTTGTTTCTATGATAACAAGAAAAAAGACAATCCATTTTTTATTTAGAAGCTATTAAGTAAAAGGTGAAAGTAGTGTTGATCTGACAAAGTCATCCTCACACCAGTAAAACAAAAAGAAAAATCTACATAAAGACTGACCAGTCAGCAAAAAAAAAATTAGTACATGTGGCAACATGGAACAACATGACTGATACTAAGATCAGTTTAATTAATTTGGAGACCAAGTGTCAAAATGTATTGTAAGGTTTAATTTTTCTGATTAAATAATAAATAATGGAGTTCAATCCCACACAAAGAGGACTGTTGCATTTCTGAAAGATCCTATGTACTAAAAATGTGTTTGCAATATCATAATTATAGAATAACTAACTACCTAAAAAAAATTTTAAAAAAGGATTCCTATATGGAATGCAATTCAGGACGAGTATATAATTTTATACAATGTATTCTGGGGAGAAGAACACTAGAAAGAGGAAGCAGAAGATCCCAAAAATACAGAGATAAAAGATCCAACCACTGTTATGCCAGGGTAGTATTACTAACAAAGTTCACCCTCTTATTTAGCATGAACTATAGGAAATGAATGAGACGGTCTCTGCAGTTTGCAGAGCTATCACCAATTGCATTCTTAAGAATTCAACATAGGTATGAATTTCCTCACTAAGAAATATGATAATAAGTGCTGGCAAACAAAAAGCTACATGTTTTATGTGATTCTGTAATTTAAAATATATCCATACCAATACCTAAAATTACATTACTATCACTTCCAAAAAAGCTTTAAAGCATATGAAATACAGTGGAAACTGTACTGTGTACACAGAAAACCTAGCTGAATATGTCAGACTACACAGCCCTGTGGAGTAGTAGTACAGTAGCAGAAAGAAATTGAACTACAACATATTTAGTATGTCAATGGAACAGCAATGCTATTGGATTCTATCAAGGTCCAAAGACATTACTTTGCAATCAAACTATGAAAATTGTAGCAATTTATACATTTGGAAGACAATGACAGTGTTTCACTAGTGACTAAACAATCATTTCCATGCTATAAGAGTCATCATTATGCATGACAAATCTTTTATTTCCTATTATGTTTGTTGTGCTACAGTCCATTTACTCATGCTACTCACCCTTCCAGCAAGAGCTGTTCCAGATTCTCAGCAACACTTGTAAGAAATTCAGGAGTGCACACCAGCTGATTGTATGAAAGATTAAGTTGCTTTAGAGTTGGACATCTGAGGCAAGGATCCAAAGCAAAGGAAGGTCCAATGTCATTTCGCGAGATATCGAGATTTGCAATACAATTCATTTTCAGTAAGTAACTTGGGAAAGAACTAAATCGGTTACTGTGCAAATCCAAGTAAGTCAAGCATTTCAAGTTCTGAAAGAAAAGGATAGTAAAAATCCTTTGTAAAAAGTTAAAAAAATATGAATTTATATGTTGTTGAGTTATATTTTTATAGAAATTATTAATTTATTTATATTTCTCACATGCAAAAGTAGCAAAAAATAGCAAACACACCAATGTGACCTATAATTTTTCTATGAAAAAATAAAGTATAGGGCATTATTCAAAAACAAGGAGCTCAATTTCATAAAATTTAAGATATTAATTGCCTGCAGTTCTCTGTTCCACTGCCATTATTGTGCTACTTAATATCACACATCTTAAAGCAGCTCTCTGCAGTAAATGACTTAAAACAATCCCATGAAAATACTTTTACTTCTAATGAACATGAATCCACTGAATGAAAGTTGAGTAAATGTATGAGGCATGCCAAAATATACACCCATATTCTCGAATAATATTGCTGTGGATACATTATTACATATGGATTACATTATTAGCGATCAACACTTTATTTTAACTAATTTCAACTTGTGTTACATAAAAATATGCAGAATTACTTCACACAGTTGTTCTGGAATGTTTGTAAGAGCATTTTGGTGGAGCTCCAGTTTCTCAAGGTGTTCCAGATGACTAGTTAAGCAGCTATTCTGGCTGATGGCATCAATGTTCTCCAGCTCATTTGATGAAAGATCTAGTGATTTAATATATTCTTTCTCTGAGATCAATGAAGAAAGACTGTCTGATGGTCTTATATGTGATGACAATTTCGAGACGCCTTCTATTAAAACAAAAATGTGAAAATACTGTGATTTCATTTATTGCTTAGGTCAAATTATGATCATTTAGCTTGGGATCAAAAAATGCAGAAGACAGTGAATGTTTGGATATTGGTTAAGATACAAATCCATGAAGAAATCTATTAAGACTCAAATTTTTAAGACAGTAGGGAAGGGGAAGAGATGAATGGTTATGCACTGCACAACAAAAAGAGCTTTTGAAAGCCTATAAGGGCACTCATGAAATTCCATTGCCTACATAAATGATTTGTGCAGATCAAGAAATAAAAACTCCTATATATGCATTATATGTACTTCATTGTAGTACTTCTAAAGTGTATACTCCTCTTAAAAAATATATATAATCTGTCTCAAATTGTTGCATGCTATGCTTGTGAAAGCATTAAGGATGCAAAATGTGTTGTATACTTTAAATTGTATGGTTTACTTACTGGGGGATTCATCTGAGAGCAAGAATTTTCGTCTTTGTTTCATTAATGGTTCATAATCTGAGCCAGGTCCCTGCAAAATCCAAGAGAAAAACCATTTACGAACATATGAATGTTCTGAAATCATCCAAATTCAGTAAAATTCTTTTTATTGTGATTTCTTTTTATCAGAGCTTTTAGGGAGAACACAAAAAAACTATACGCTTGAACTCAAAATAACCATTTCATCTATATGAAATACATTGAACCGTGCAATATGAAAGAATGGTAGATTTGGAAATAGTGCATTTCTGGCAACCCAGAATGACTTTCACTAGGGTGCAGTAATAGGATGGAGCAGAGTCTTACACAATGTAACTTTCTCAAGGAAAGCCAGTCTCTCCAGTTTCCCTTACATTCAATGGAAAGAGACAAGCTTTTCCAAAGGAACCTGACTTTGACTCCACCAATTTGTCCTCTTTTGTCTTCTTAGGGAATCACCCTCTCTCCATTGATCATTACTGAAGATCAGCTTCACTAAGGGGAAGTTAAGTCTTTGTGAACGGGCCCATGATCCCTGTATTTCCATTTGAGCACCAGACTGGAAATTTGAACACTTCAAATGGGTGTTTGATACTAAAAGATACTTTTTAGTGATCATAAATTTTTGCTAAACTCATCCATTGTTTATTCTTTTTTGATAAACTCATCCATACAGTGCACCACAATACAAGGAAACACTGCATGGCAACAGTGAGACAAAGCCCATATGGTTACATGACCTTTCCTAAAACCTGATTATTAAAAATTTTGGAGTAGGCTATGTAGATGGACTTAAAAGCCTGGAATGAGCATGGATCTGACTTACCACAGAGTAGGAATGTCGCAGCAAAGTAGGAGAACCTCTCTGACATGCCATTTCTCTACAGTATAAATCGGCAACTGCAATGGAATTGGACTTCTTTTTTGTGAAAAGGGAACCTTCACTTCCTTGAACACAGGAACAGAAATAGGTAAGAAAATGTATTCAAAGATGAGACTCAGAATTCAACTTTAATACAGATGCTGACATACAAATAAGAGATGCATTTCAAAAGCATCAATACTGGCAGGATCTCACAGGTCAATTCTGTGTGCAATAGGCCAAGAATGTTGTCAGTGTGTTTTAGAGCAGAGGGGCCATACTCACCTGACAATCTTCAAGTAGGACCTGCAGCTTATAGCAGGACTTGCACTGATGATTTATGATACAAAATTCCCATTGGTTTGGGATTATTATGTATGTTTCATAGCACATCTTTCTGCTACTTCAGTGTAAGTAACTTTTTAAAATAGAAAAGAGTTGTATTTCAATAGATAAATTTGCAGTCCCACATTTACTGAGAATGAAACATCAAATGCCACTCTAGATTTGGTGATTCAGGAGGCATTTGGTGTTGTCTGAAGACATTTGATGTTCCTCTTCTCAAAGCTACCTTTAACTTCTAACTTTTAACTTTAAACTTTTAACTTTTTTTACTTCACTCCTGCATTTTTTCATAATAACAACTTTTCTACATGGGGCAACAAATAGACATACAGAAATTAAAAGTGGTGCTGAATGATGTAAGGAAAAGAACAAAGTAGAATCAAAAAGTTCCTTAGGATTCTCTGATTCAAAAATTCAAATTCTTCATCTGTGATGATTTTAAGTAACCAGCTGTTCTAAAACAAAAGCAAAATTTGAACAAAAAAGATATGCTAAAAATTAAGGCTACTTTCTGTATTAAGTGGCAGGTATTATAGACAGAAATGCTGTCTTTCTAGAAGTTAAAAGCATTCAAATGACCTGGTTACAAAGAATGGTGTTGGGCTGAACATAAACCTGTCATTTACACCTTCTGATCAATTAGTTATCTTTGGGATAGGGCTTGTTTCAACTACTTTATTTGTTAATAACGTAGTCTTCTATACCGGATCTGGTTGTATGAACTTTATTTACAGACTACCCAGGGAACAGAGGGGTTTCTAGATTGCAATATACCTGACTTCATGATGAGACAAACTGGGCTCCTGAAGCTCCTGCTTTTTGTCATAGACTAAAAAGGCATCTCAGAAACAGACAGAAAAAGTCAAAATCTAAATTCAGCTGCAAGAATCTCTCTCCTCTTTCTCTCTACAAAAACTGAACGCATGACAAACTAATTCTAAATGTATGACTAAATGAAATTCTTCAAGGTCTTCAAGGTCTTCTTCAAGGTTCATAGATGAAGCATATACTCCCCACAAATTATTTTCCAATATTAGCCCAAACAAAATTTTAGATAGCAGCTTTTTTTCTTCATGGGAAGTGTTAAATCTCAAACACAAACAACTGATTCATGGCTATAGTCTAGCCCTAGCACATTAAACTGGGATTATAAAAAGAAAGAAAAGAAAAAAAATTACCTTCACTATCAATGTCATCAGTCAAAGGAAAAATACTGTCCACTAATGGGTCAGGTATGAAATTCCAATCGTAATTTCTATCCACTCCATCTTCAGACAAATTTGGATCAGAGGAGGCTCTTGATCTATCCTCTGAAATGTTTTTCATCTGGAATTTGAGCACCATCCTTGCCAGTGCAGAACCTGCACCTGTATGTACAAGAAACAGAAAAGATAAAATAATCTTCAAGAAATCTAAGCAGCTTAAAAAAAATAACAGAAATAATTTAATTTATTTTAAAGTTTTGCCAAACTTTCTATAGCAAGCTGAATGCTATGAAGAAATTCTCAACTGAAAGTCTTCACCAAAAACACATTCATAGTGTCATCAAAAGATACTGACACATTTCGTACAGCAATTTCTATATATACTCACTCTGTTTTCTTGTTTGAGTAAGTTTATCTGGAAACAAAGGAATGAGCCAGGAAGGCTCTAATCTGCCAAAACCAAATCCTCCAAGACATATACTGCTGTTGGTGACATCAAGGCTAAGCTTCTTTAAGAGCAAGCTGATGATTTGGCTATCTCCTCTCTTTATACTGATGGTCAAAGCACTCCGAACATCCTGTTCTCGAGCACCATTGGCTAATAACAATTCCACCAGTTTAGGATTATTTCCTTTCTCACAAACCTGAAACAAGAAAACAATTAAAACAAACCAAGAATATGAAGCATTCAAGTAACAGCTCAGACTGCTGTCTCAGAGTGACTTTATCATAAGGATTGTGTCTCTTTCTCAATTATTTGTCATTCCTTGGAGCATATGTTTGCCTAAGGCATCTGAGTACCAATTGCCACTTTCATGAAGGATTTGCCCAAATGTATCAAATGCTTTAGATCTGCAACTGTAATTTTTGTCATGAGTGCACACAATTTTCAGGCAGAAATTAATGGTAATTTATCTAGTTTGGTTATTGCACGTGGTCTATTGCAACTCCATTTATTTATTTGTTTAGTGGAAAACAGACACTTAGGGGTTATCATCTGGATATTTAAAGAACAGGCAGCAACAATCAATTTCATCAAGCCTTGCCTAATGATAGTGAGCTCAGCTCTACTGCCTTTAACTACCTAAAAGGAGAGTGTAGACAGGTAGAGATCAGCCACTTCTCCCAGGTAACCAGTGACAGGACAAGAGGCCTCAAGCTGCTCAAGGATAGGTTCAGGTGGACATCAGGAAGCATTTCTTCACATTTCTTCACAGGGTGGTTAAGCATTGAAACACTAAGTGGTGGAGTCCCCATCCCTGGAATTGTCTAAGAAACACCTGGATGTGGCACTTAGTGCTCTGGCTTAGCTGGCAACATGGTGTTCAGCCAAAATTTGGACTTCACTACCATGGAGGTCTTTTCCAACCTTTAAGTTTCTATGGTTCAGTCAGCTCCTCCCAATCTCCAAGCCTGCATTGCTACATAGATTAGTGATGATTGTGAATATTAAAAAAACTTTCTAGAAATACTTTCCCTGACTTCCATGTATATGTCCACTGTGGTTTGCTATCACTGATTTGCCTCACACTCTATGAATGGATGGTTAGCTCCAAATCCAGCTATGCTTCATCACTCAGACAGTTCTACCAGCAGAACTGAACACTTCCTAATTCCTTTCAGGCAGTATTGGTGGGGTTCTCTCAGACTATTTAAAACTTTCACACTGAACCAAAATGAAGAAGTGCTTATGCACATCACTTAAAAAAAAAAAAAAAAGTGAAATTTAAACGTGGTCACAGTTAGCAAGACGCACTTGTAGGTATGTGGCAGCAGCCTCTCTCTTTTCTGTGTTCTGCCAAATAAATATTTACATTACAACAGAAAGGAACCCAAAAGCACAAAATTTTAAGCAATAAAATTGTATATACATTTCAATGTATTACCTGATAGATCAAAGAGTTTGTCTTTGTCTTCCTATTAATATCAGCTCCCAGTAGAAGTAAACATTCAGCCATAATACTGTTATACTCCATACATGCTTTTTCCAGCATCATATTTTTTAAATCATCATTTTCAGCTATTTTAGCAAAACATTTACAACACAGGCTTTGGAACTGAATGAGAATACAAACAATAAAAGTTAGGACAAAAAAGCACCAACATCCAACATTTTTCAGCTGTGGAACCATCAGAGAAAGAAGATACCTGTTGATCTCGCTGGTCAGTGAAACACATAGACATCTGGTAAAAAATGATTGTATCAAATGATTCATTTACCAGCAGCTTTGCAAAACAAGGTGACAAACCAAGAATCGCCAAGATTGCATGAAAACCCTAAGAACACAATGAGAACATTGAAAGAAGTACAGTTTTAAAAAGTGTCACTTTAAAACAGGTCATGCAACAAAATCGAATTTCAACCAAAAGATTAGTGCTTTAATTTTTTTGTCTTACTTTAAAACATGCAATAGTTAACAAACAGGAGAAGACTGGGAGAGAAGGCAGAAATAGCAGGTGTCTCTGTTTATATAATTGCAGTTTCATGCTTGTTTAGCTGACCCACTTAAACAGATACTAACTGACACTTTGAAAAGTCAAATATGTGCCACAACATCTGACAATGTCCTGCCTGGCAGTAACAAATGTACTTGTGATTTCCTGAAAATGTAAAGAGGAAACAATCTCTTTGTAAGGATATAGAATGAAGATACATCCCCTGTTCCAATGTGTTCTGTAAGCAACACACTGAATTACTCTGAAATTGAAAAGAACTACTAGGCTAAATGAAAAGATTAACAGGTGTATCTAAAAACTAAGAAGAAATAGAAAATTATCTCATGATTCTGCTAGTAAAGTTCACCTAGAAGGGTGAACTGGGTAAATGATAGGCTCTTTGTCCAAAGCCAACTGAAACTAAATCACTTAAAGTAACTTCCTTATTTCAGCTATTGTTTTTATTTCTCTCTACATTGGTCGCTAAGCTAAATGTGGAAAGACTGGGGGAAAAAGAGCAGCAAAGAAAGGAGGCTGGACTTGTGATATTTCCATATTCATCTGAAAGAGAAATATAGAAACTCTCACAGAAAGCTGATGTCACATGCAAACTCTATCCCACTACAAACATGAAACTAGTAACAAACAGGAAAAACTTCTGAAGCAGAGGAAACAGAACTTTACACAAGGATTAAATGTGTGTTTGCAGACAAAGAACTCTCCTTCCATATACAGACGTGGGTCCAAAGTCTGATAGTATTCTAGTAATATCTTCTCTTAAATACAGCATTCCTACACTAAGTTTATTCCTGGTGACAAGGCTTGGAACTAAGCCATTTTCTGTGACTTCTCAAAGAAGGGCAATCAGTACTCTAATGATAGTTACTTCATGAAATGGTTACAGATTGACAGAACGATGGATCATGACTAAGAAATTTGTTCTAGTTTGCAGATCTTAGAAGTTTTAGATAAACACTTCCATCTCTACCACAAAAGTCTGCTTAATTAACAAAGGTTTATACTAATCTAATAGTTTTAATAAAATCAAAGTCAAGTGAGTAAAATACAGAATTGTACTTCAAATGTAACTATATTAAAATAATTTTCTATGGTTTTGAGTTTTGTTTTCATCTTCAAAGACAGAATTGACACATACATGCATCTGGATTTCAGTGACTTCTTTAAATCGTCGCAGAGTAGAAACCAGAACTGCTGACAGGACATGCATAGTTGCAATACACAAACTCTTCCTTGTAATCAAAGAGCGCAGAAGACTCAAACCCAAACACTGTATATCTAGGAGAAAAATAAATATTATTCAGACACTGATAATTCAGACATTCTGAGTGGAATGAACCGATGATTAAATTAGTCTTTCAGTAACATTCCAGAAAGTTACTTGCAGAAGCTATTATAGGGCCAGGCATAACTACAATGTGGGTGAATCTGAGGACTGTGCAGCACTGCAGCCTTCTCTTGCCATGCAACCTACATCACATGCAGCACTAAGGAGAGCAACAGATCTCTTACAAACCCTCCTACCATGCCATTCTCATTCTGCTGATAAAACACATTCCCTACCTTGTTCATCTGGATACATCTGCAGGGTGTGAAGCACAGTGTCAGTAGCTCCTTGCTGGGTTAAAATTTCTAATGCACCAGTGCACTCAGCTACAGAACCAAGTAGTTTTAATCCACACTTCTGAATGCTAGGATTTCCAATAAACTAATAGAGAAAGGAAGATAAAATCAGATCAAGATTTTATCAAGATCTGCTTACACTAGCAACAGAAAAGTTGCCTGCTCTTAAAGTTGCTCTGTAACAACAAGTGAATGATGGTCTTAAGTATCTGACAATAAATAACAACAATCACGACTGCAAAAAGATTTACTTATCAACCACCAGTTTCACCTGCTTATAACTTCCCCAGATTTTCATCTTTGATTCTGAAAATATTCTATAGCTACTTTTCTGATTGAATTTTTTTCCCCCTCAAATTCTCATTGATAAGTTTACACCATTTTTCTAGGTCAAGCAGAGGGAGAAACCATACTTTCTTTGTGGTAGAAAAATAAAAACTATGTGGGGTTTTTTGTTTTTTTGAGAACTGGAACAAGTGATAAACAAGATGGCAACTGAAAAAATATAAAAAGAAAAATGTATGAAGTAACATACTTATTACCATCCCCCACTTATAGATGGAGGAAACCTAGATGAGGCCTAGATCTGAGTGCGTCACAGCCATCACAAATCTGCAAAATTATTTCAATGCTATCATGACCATCTTCCTCCTTATTCTACCTCTAGTTTTTAATTAAATGTGTCAATTTCTAGTCCTCCTGGCTGATATTGTAGTACCCCAAACCACAAACCAGCTGCACTGGAAAATGCAATCAAGATGATCATGAAATACTGAAGACCTTCTGAAGCAAAAATCATTTTACCTCTTTTGTTAGCTCCTACATCTGTTATCTTCAGGTCAAGATGTCCTTTAGACACCCTAGAACTATTTCACTGATACATTACTTGCTCTGAATTCTATAATAAATGTAAGAGACATAAATCTCCTTGACTGGAATCTGTTTCGCAAGCTTAAAATTCCTGAGAGGGACTTCTAAAAAATTAGGAATTGCTACATTTTGATCATGTGAAACTTGAAAACCTTGTAGAGATCGGATTCTTCTGAATGCCATAAAGTTAAATACTTCCAGTCACTGGGATTTAAGGTTAATTTGCTATGCAAAGTTCCCAGTGTTTCCTTTGCAGAGACTGAGTCTGCTTCAGCCTTTCATTTTTCAGCTTCTCCTTCAAGGCAGTGATCATTCTATTTCGCAGGGGCTGGAAAAAGTTGAACAGTGAAAAGAATGCAGACAACTGAGCTGTCCACCCAGTTCTACCTTTAGCTGAGGTGCAGGCATAAGGACACTTTTCATATACACACTAGTCTGTTTTAAGAAAAAAACAAAACCAAATAAACTGTATTCTAGGAAAAAAAAAAGAGATTTTAAAAAAATTAGTATCCTTTGAAATTACTGTATAAAGAATCATCTAATACACCCCAGAAAAGAAAGTAAGAAGAAACCCTAAAAGATTCATGAAACTTGGGAGTTCAGATTAATTTTATCAAATCAGTAGGAAAATCAGTGCAGAACTAAAATTTACAAATGATTCACCATTTCAAGTGAAAATAATGACAAAAATCCAGTAGAATAAAGCTTTAACTGTACCCTGTTTAAAGCATTAAGCACCAATGAGTGAGTTCCTTCCAATAGACACTGGCTTTTAATGACTTTTCCTGTAAGCGCAAAAGCAGCATCTCCCACATCTCTGGAAGAACCATTCTGGTGTTCATTCTTTGTATCTGCAACAATGGAAAACAGCCTTCCTCAGAACAGCAGATTTCATATTCTCCCCACCATATAATATGATGTAACAATCAAATGAACACTGAGGTGACTCAGAGAGCATATTTCAGATCTTATGGTATTTTCAGAACACTGTATTTATTGCCAAGACTGGAAGATTGGCAGATTTACACTGCAATCTGAGTACATTGTGCTTGAAAGGAAAATTTCACCACACATTTCCTCACTGTTTACTATGAAAATACAAATTGTGCCAAAGAACCTGCTCTAAGGTATATTGCAATATATTAGTTTTTTGAGCTATGGGGTTTCCTGATACCTACTTCAGAATGCCTCTTCCTTCTGGTAAGGAGACACTACAGAGAAGCTATAAAGTATTTGTTCTTGCTCACTTGGCAGCACATCACAGGACAAATTTTACACATAGATGGCATTAAGTGCAATGTGAGCATATCCAAAAAAACCAGAAAGGTTTTTCAGATTTACCTTCTTGTAGCTTTTGGCACTTGCAGTTAAGTGACACTACCAGAGTACCCAGAAATCCTTTCCAAGTCAGTTCAGCATTCATATTTATTGTGATTACTATTTTTCCCATGTATCACTTTTTTTTCCCTAATTAACCTGCAAGTTTCAACATTCAGTTTGTGCTCTCTCTGTTTGATTACACTTTAGAAGAGCCTAATTTTCAGGACACTGGCAATCAAAGTGCCTTGTTAGAACACATATATCAAGTCTAAATCTTGCTCTTCATTGAAAAAAGAGGAAAGTATTAGGACCGGAACTCAAATAATAGAAGGAAACGGAAAACCTGCAGTCAGTCTGCATATTAAACAGGTTACTATTTTCAGAGTTATTAGTTTTGTAAATGTTCAGCCAAAACTGCTCAGAGATACTTGCAAAAAGTTGCTCTGAAAAAAAAAAACCTGAGTACCCCATGTCTGGACTCCTACACTCAATACCAGAGGAAAAAACCAGGATATATAGCAGTACACTGACAAAAAGAGTTAAAACTTCTCCAAAATTCTACTAAAGGCATAAAACTAATAAAGAACATCTTTCTCCCCTCTGTACTGCTAATAGAGAGAGGGTTTTTGGAAAGGAATTTCTAAAATCAGTCAGTTTGGTTGCTCCTTTTGGATAGAAAGTAGTACATAACTGTATATTTTATATCTTTAAATATAAAGATCATTGTCCAGTTTTTATATTCCTTCCAAGAGATGCAATCAAAACAATTGCATTTTGAGGTACAACAATGCTCATGTCATTATTATGGTTTGTTCTCACTTCAAGGGAATTGATGATGCAAACCACAATGACACTAATAGCTCCACACTCATTCCCTGAATTCCTCAGAAATAATGGGGCTAACTCTTCAGTGATGAAATCAAGGGGAAATCAGCAGTGATCATTTTGATCTGTTACCTTCAATACCTCAAAATATTTTCTCCCATCTTGTATGTTCCTAAAGAATTACAGCTGTTCTCTGCTACGTACAGAACTACAATAACTTTTTGAAGTCCCATTAAAAGTTGCATCATTAGATAAGAAAGACTACAAGTCAGCTATCTGATTCTATTCTCTAATTTGGTGTATGCTTTTGCATGACTTACTGGGCATCATGAAGTGTAAAAGGACTCGAAATGCTTCCAGTTGTACAGAGAGTGATTTTTCATATTTTCTCATGGCTTTTACAACTTCTGATACTGCCACAGTCATTACATCCAGATGAGGGAAACTGAAAAGAATTTTTATAAAATAAGTTTCAAAAGTGCATTCCTAGCCAACAAGAAAGTAGTATTAACAAAATGCTATTTTAATAATCAGAAGTAATTTTGTGGGAAATTTCTTATCTCTCAATGGAATTCAGTGTGGCTAAGAGGAGGGGAGACCACACAGCGCTTGTCTATTTGAATCTCGCCGCTCAAGAACCATGAAGGAAAGAACATGCAGCTCCCTACACACGCCCACTCGGGCATTTGACTACAGGGCTTACAGAATTCCATGTCTTAAACAGGGCTGTCAGGCTATGGTCAATTTTACAATCAGTCAAAAATTTAAATGTAATCACTTATGGCATTGAATCTCAAAACCCTTCACCATGGAAGTGGACATGCATTTCTAAATTTATTACCTTCCTTCAAAAACATGATTCAGAAGCCTGCAGGCACTTTCAACCACTTCAGGAGAATGTGGATGCTTCCTCATTATATCCAAGACATTCATATGTATGCCTTTTGCCAGAAGTGTCTTCCTAATATTTACTAAAACACAAAATAGCAAGAATCCAGTAAATCTTTCTTTCTGTGTACTTCTCAAAATCAACTTTTATCTTCTTTTTTTTTTTTTTTTTAGTGTTTTTGCCTCACCAAACAGACATAATAGTATAAATTAAAATGAATGGGAAACCATTTGAGCTGAAGCCGACTTCTGTTAGCATAGCTTAATCAAACACATTATAATTTCTGACTGTCTAATAAGTTTCTATACATCTGCTATCTTTACTTACGTAAAGTTAACATATGGGAAGGAGAATATACAGCCTTACTTTTATTTTCAGAAATGTTTACTCTTAAACTTTTTCCTTGTAATTGCATTCTGTGATCATGTAGGAAAGCTAGAGCTTCAAACTTTAAAAAACCTTCTAACTTCCAAAATTAAACTTCAAAAATTAACTTATATTTATTCATTCTATTTACTTTGTTATTCTTTTTTTTTTTGCGAATTCAAATATCTAAGCACATGTTGTAGCTATAACTTTAACTAAAAAAAATTAGGATACTATTAAAATTATCATAGTAACTACTACTGAATCTTGTTATCCCCAGTTCAGTACATCCACTTCATATGCTCATTCATAGCTCAAGCAATACTGCACTATGCCAGAAGGTTTTACTAAGCTTCTTTATGTCTATCATAGCTGCTGTAATTCACTCAGGGTGAAAAAAAAAATTAAAATTAAAAAGAAAAAAAGAAGAAAAACTTGCTTTAAATTTCCTAGCAGAATCAGAGGTACACTTGTCAGTAACGTTATGAAAGTACCTGACATGTATACTATTGAAAGTATATGACAATAGTATGCATACATTTATGAGATCTGTTTCTCAGTATAGATACATATTGATCTCATAAATAATTATAAAACCTTTTCTGTGTTAGGTTTTATGTACTTGGATGGCTCAATAAACTGGTGATAAAACAATGCTTTCTCACCTAGAGAATGGTAATTAACTGCTAGGATTTTTCTTCCTATCTAGCCAGTGGTTTTCAATGTGCAGTCTGCAAACCACTTGAGGTCCATAACCATTTCAAAGGATTCTGTGAAAGTTATCTAATAAAAGCAGGCCAACTGTCAGTAGGCTTAAATACTCTATTCAGGGGTCCACATCTCCACTGAAAAATTTTGAGGGGGTCTGCAAATTGAAAAAAGTTAGGAAACCATGTTAGGGACATGATCAGGAGTAAAGCAATCTTGAAAACTGTCATGCACATGCTTAAGTTTCTACACAATTTGATCCACTGAAGTCAACAGGACGGTGTTAAGCAATAAAGTGTATTTCTTGGGCTGTGTTCCTTACTCATGTGATTTTTCAACAAATGCTGCTCTTGATGAAATTCAAACATGTGATATTTAAACAAGCATACAAAGAGGGCACACTTTTTTCATGTCTCCTGATCCAAAAAGTAGCAGTTGCAACACAAAAACTGGCAGAGAGCTCTTTATTTCCTCATATTTTTTGATACTTGCCAACAATAACTTTTTCAAAGAAAGGAATAAACTTCCTACTTATCACAACATAATATTCTAATCACAGGAAGTATTGTATTCATTCAACAGTACACTAAATTCTCTTTAATATTTTTGCAATAACTTTCTGCTGAATGAGAAAGAAAAGATAATTGAAGTCCCTTACCATTTTGTTGTGACAAAATTGCCAAGGTACTAGAAGCTGCCTGAAACACTTCTTTTGAAGAGGAGTGCATCAACATGGAAAGCATCACTGCTCTGTCTATTGGGAACCTTTCAGAGAGAAACAAATCACTGCACATTGAGTGTATTACAGTAGTTACTTCTTAATTGCAGTTCATTTTCCTAAAAAGGTATTACATAACATAATTAAAATTTCAGGTGATTGCTCATGGTTTCCAAAATGTTTCCAGAGCAACAGCTGACAGAAAACCCTCTGTAACCTATGCAACTTTATCTACTCTGAGTCTCTCTGAATTCCTTGGAGCCATGCTTCCCAAGGGACCTGAGGTCCAGAAAAGGGTACGAACAGGCTTACAAAAATTGAGCAACTAAAATTTTAAGGAACTCTGAGAAATAGTTTAAGTAAAACGGAAATTTGTATCTTATCCACGCCCAGTAGATTATCCCTAATGAGGCAGCACTCCCTCTACAATGCCTTTTCATCTGATTTGTGGAAAAATGAGGACTGCTTTTCTACACTCCTTACATGCTAGGTATCTTAATCTTGCCTGTTTTCCCAATTCTTACATTCTTTATCCCTTTTGCAACTGAAGACAAAATTCCTTATGAACTGTAACAAATAGTACTAACAGGCTGTGTTCTGACCATTTATGAAAACCCTAGTAAATTTTCCTGAGTCAAGGTTAGCACGCTTTCGAAGAAACTTTCCCAGGTGTGGCTGACCATCACGCATTCCATCTACTACAGAACTAAAAACAATTTCAAAGTGAAACGTCAAATGGCTTAATAACAGGCACTCATTTCTTTTCATTTCCAAAAATCCAGTTTAAGACAACACTGACTGATTATCTCCATCTCCAATCTTCTCATGAAGGTTGCGTTGATACAGAAACAGACTTTTCAAAGCCCAGCATGCAGCTTCCTAAATATAAGCCAAGAGAAAAAGATTTCTTTAAGAAAACATACCTCTAGAAGATTAAAAATGTACGAAAAAACTTAAGTAGTTTGACTGCTTTTCAGTTCACAAAAGAGGTACAAGATACTTTATGTAGAAACAGAACAACTGTACACTGTACATGTTACGTACACTGTAACATTCTTTATAGCTCAGACAGGCCCAAGTTACAAACGTGTGAAAGTCTCATTATTTGATTTGCATTTTGATATCTATTGTAGACTAAGACTAATTCTTCTGCTGATGGGCCTGTGTTTGGCTGTTGGATATGATGGGGGTATGTAAACAACAATCTTTGCATGGCCGAAGTTTCAGGTCTTCGGCCTGAAGCCTCATCTTACCTACCTACATTTGATCTGTAGAAGTAACTAAAACCTCTTAAGATGAACAAAGAAAGGCAGGAAAGGTAAGATTTATTCTAAATCTAATCCAGACATTAAGGCCTTTTTTTGCCTGAGGATATAGATGAGAAAAACACTTTACTCAATACATAATACAGTCTTTTCCATATTCCCATCATCCATAGTTTCTCACCAGCACATCTGTATTTTTTCGGTGCAGTTCTAATGCTCTGTAACATGCTTCCAACCAGCATAACTTTTCTTCCTCCTCCTCTTCTTTTCTTTCCTCTAAGTCCCGGTTTAAGAATATTGTTTCAGCTTGAAATATAAAATATTTACAAATAATTCTTACTGTGAAACCAAAACACCTATGTCAACCTTACTATAGTCATGGAGGCACTCACTCTGACAATGTGTGAAAATCAGTGGGAAGTTAAGCCTTTTGTGGGAAGGGAGAAATCTTTTGACATAAGCTCTGAGACAGATTTGAAAAATATCTTCAAGGTTATAAAGGGAGTTAAAAACTTAAGTGTAGCATAGTAAATGAGTCACACAGTTACAGATCAGTCTAGGCTTTGGCTCTGAAAAGATCTGCATGTACTTCTTTCTGTTGTGTATTTATGTACAGAATACCACAGACAAAAAATATTACTGAATCATTGCATGGAATCACTTATTTCAGAGCCACCTACACTCTGAAGCAATGCTGTAAAAAAACAAAACGCAAATGGCAGTTGCTAAAAGAGAAATACCTGGTTCCAGAAAGTGCAACACAATTTGAAATATATAATTTTCTACCTGTGATTTTTCACTAGTTAAGGGAAAAAAAGAGATACCAACAGTGAGCATAATATCTGAGGCATAATGGAATGTGTACTGATTTCTAATCTTTGCTATCCTGGGGACTCTTAAACAGCATTTCTACTAACTTTTATATGGAACAATTACTCAAGGACAAAGAGGAACAGATTCTTATCTCTTTCCCACTAGCTAACTAATTTCTGTCTGAACTGTATTCAAGGAAAAGTTTACATTTTTTAATTGATTTCAGAACTCAAGCACAAGCATTGATTTTGTGTTGCTATCAACTGCCACAATACAGGTACTGTCATACCTGGCAAACACAACATCAAATCAGTGCTGGTAACACTCAAAACTTTATGTTAAGAAGGGATTATCCAAAATTTGCCTATGAATAAACAGTTTCCTCTGTTCTGATCTGTCAACGTAACTTACCAGCTCTGAACACTATGCAGATGTTGGGCATATGATATGAACACAGTCTTATCATAGTGAAACAGTAAACTGTAATTATGTAGGAAATCCAGCTTTGTTGAAGCTGTCCTGCCTGAGGCTTTTGTGTTAATGAAATGGAGTTTGATATTATTACAGGAAATTACTATAATGAAAAAACTAACAAGTAGACAGAGATTTACTCACTTAGAAGAGCTAAACAACTGAGAGCGGCAGCTTGTAACTTTGCATTTTCAGGATATGCTGTAACAGCCTTCACAATGACTTCTGGAACCTTATGTAATACAAGGATATTGAAAAAATTTCCTGAAACCACATAAGATAACAAATTAATACAAACACATATCTAGAGCTTTACATGCATTTAACATAAATTTCTCAGCAAACAATGCACAAACTTGGTACCAAATGTTGGTTTTCTTATTACAGGGCTTGACACACCAAAATTTTATTTGTGAAAGGAAGAGGTTAAGGATAAAAACCAGTTGGGACCTACATTCTTTGTGGGCCTTCTTAATTATTTTTTTTTTTACAAGAGGCAGAGGTTTAATGCAGAATGAAACACAGTTATCAAAATAAGACAAATACAGCTGGTGTATCACAGGAAGCAAACGCAGTCTTGTTCCTGAATTCCTGCAATGATTTGATGTACCCTATGAAAAAAGTAATTTAACCCTAGAATAACCCTTTATTATCTGGTTTTGCCCTCCTCGTTAAACAAATCAAGGCCAGCATTATAAATATAGAATGTATTCCTTCTGGAACAGGAGGAAGACTTTGAATAATAAATATATTTAGAGAATAACAATTATTTGAAGTTGTACAGTGTTTTGTATTATAAACTGAATATAAGGCACTCTCCAAAAAGCAAGCAAATGCAAATAACTTCCTTGTTTGGAAGTTATGTAGAAAATAACAGACCAACATTCTGTCAAATATGGTTTGATAGCAAATTTTGATATTCAAATAGCAATCAAATATCAATATTTGATAGCTATTTTGATATTCAAATTAATTTAAATCTTGATTAGCAAAAATAAGAATTGGAGTAGTAATGCGAAAAATCAGTTGTGTGGTCATGTTATATCAGCATAGCTGTTTCTTAATATATTTTAATAGAAAAGGTAAGTTTGTGTAAATGCATTACTTACGTAAAGATATTAATAAACTTAGCCTATGTGATGAGTAATTCTGTTGGACTTGTGGCTGGCCAAACAGGTGCCAGCCACTTAAAATTCTGGACAGTCAAATCTAGGATAGCCATTACCAGATCAGCAAGAATGCATGATGGTGATTTTGGAAGCTAGCAGATGCTGACTTCAACATTTTATGGCCAGTTAACACAGGTTTAGAAAGACACTGTCCAACAGAGTAATCTGGGAAACAGCACTAGCTATACACATGAAAATCTTCCAGACTGTTTCCAGGAGCACCTACCCATTTCACATCTGTTCCCACAACTGTGTGGTGCTGTGAACATCTCTTCCATAACTCTACTCCAATTGCTCCATATTAATTAAGATGTGGAGCTCAAAAAAGAAATGGATCTTGTGGCTGCTTTTCTGCCACTCTTCGTTGCTGGTCAGCATAAACACATGGCAAACATCTGATTGAAACCATGCTGGTTGCACTTATGGCAAGATCAACACCTGTCAACGAAGTTGCTGTATCCCCACAAGTGCTTGTCTTCCCTGCCTAGCTTTAGTTAGTCTTGCACAGCAAACTGTTCAAGGTTAGCATCACCTCTTGCCAAAAAACCCTGCAATTACCACCTCAGCAGCCACCACATTTTCTTAGAAATTGTATCTGGCTTTCTGAAGGGGAATGGGAAATTGCTCTGGGTTGCACTCAGGTCTGATCTGTATTTTCTACCATATCTGCATGAAGAAGTGGAAACAGATGGTGAAAGGATGGGACTGACTTTATTATGGGGAGTCATGCACTGGTACCAGCATCTGCAGTAGCTTCAGGCCACCACCTGCAAAAACTGGGAAGTCTAACTCTTGGTGAAGAAGAACCAGCCATAGAGTGAGGGCTGCTCAGGCAGCTGCTCACAGTGGGCTTGTATGCAGCTGGGGGAAAAACATATTTATTTTCATTTGAACTTCCTACTACGTGGGCAAGTGCTCAAACAGATTTATTACAGTCACAAGTGTGAGAACAGAGCTGCTAAGAGGCACAACTTTTTGCCACTGACATAATTTCTCTTGATATGACACCAACCCATTTTAGGCCAGACAACTGAAGTACTTTTGTTTAAGTCAAGGCAAGTCCAGAACCCAGTGATTCATTCGCTGCTGCAGCACAGGGGGGCCCCAAGACAGGCATCATCACTGTCAGGAATGCAGCACAGGTCTCTAAAGATAAATGCATTGCAAGGAGGAAAACTAGAGTTTGAGAGAACACTTTTCAAATAATTCTATAGCACCAGTTGTTTCTCACACATTCACCACTGGTAGTTCAAAAAAATGAAATCTCTAAGTAATTTTCTTCTTTTCTACAATAACTTAATACAGAATCAGACCTACTGATTTCCCATTCTCCTGTGCTTCCCACCCTTTTTTGTCTCTTTACTTCCCCCTAACTTGAGTCTTTTATGGTAGCTTCTCATTGTTACTTATATTTACCTTGTAAGGACACCATATTGACTGTGGCCAGGGTTTTGCATCATTAGACACAAGGATCTATGCACCACCCTGAGGATTTGCAGGAGTAGCAGTTGCCTGTAAGGCTCCCAGTTAACTCCAACTCTTATACACTCAGAAAAAAGCTGACCTTATATAAACAACTTCGTGAACTTACCCAATGTAAGCTTGTGCAACAAACAGCAACTCACTTCCTGAACTGTTTCACGACTGGGGAAACTTTTCATCATTTCCACTATAACATTGTAGCAGCGAACATTTCCCGACATGAGCACTTCAACATTGCTGGCTGAAGAAAGAAACAGAAACAAAAACTTGTTAAGAGAGAGGAAAAAAAAAAAGTTAACTGGATCCTAATTCAGACTTTAGTTAACTAGATTTATTTAGAGAACTGTGACTATATTACAGTTTTTACCTTGCATTTTCAAAGAAAAGTGGCTTTATTTCTTGATACGGCCATAAAAGACAAAAAATATTATGATCATTTTGAAATTATTCATTAAAACAATGCTTTATCACCTAGAGAATGGTAATTAACTGCTAGGATTTTTCTTCCTATCTAGCTAATGGTTTACAATGTGCAGTCAAAATTCAGATTAACAATTTTGGTTTTCTTCCATTCTGTATCAGGCCATGTAACAGAATGGCCTCCTCCCAAACTAATCTTAGGTAGCTTTTTTCTTACATGTGAACAAACTGTTTTATAAATACTGTATCAGTGTTATAAATAGTGTTTGCAATGTGATTATGATCAAGTACACATTTTACAGTATTTCAGGGGCAGAAAATTAAGAAACAAATTCAAAATTTTTCTGTCATAAAATTTATTCTGTAGTAATTTATTTGATTTAAACATGTGTTTCAGAGTTCTCCTGCTTTTTTTAGGGGGCAAGCAGTGTATACCTGTTGTGTACTGAGAGTATTGAAATTTTCATCTAATGTTCCTGCAATATTTTGAAAGCCATTGCACACCCTGTATTTCACAGAATCACAGAAGGCTGATGTTGGAAGGAACAACTGAAAGGTCACCGTGTCCAACCCACGTGTTCTAGCAGGGCTGCCTACAGCAGGTTGTCCAGATGGCTCCTGAGGATTTCCAAGGATGGAAACTTCACAGCCCCTCCAAGAAAACTGTGCCAGAGCTTGGTCACTCTCACCCTGTTTACTGTTTATTACTCAGCCTAGATACAGAAACCCTACTGGCAATCATGTGAGCCCATACTAAGACAGAATGTATCCATTCCAACTCAGGACAATACAATATGTGATCCCACATATTGTAAGTTCAGGCAGAACAGCATCATGGTAGTTAAAACACAGTGTATGAAAGCATCCTTGTAGTATTTCTATCCAGAGTATGAGACAAAATATGAACCCAAGAAATCCTGGCCAAAATCCTGGCCCAAATAAATGAACTCCCTGTCACAGACTCCAGGGGAGTTAGCATTACTCTGCTGAGGTCTATAAATTTTCTTAATTGTTCTTTCAGCAGCTTGGCTTCCCTGGATACAACATAAGGGTAATATTCACAACTGTATTATTAAAGATAATTACCCTTTTTAAAAGAGCAGCAAATATTTAAAATAATACTTCTCTAAATATTAAATAATGACAACCTACTGGATGAAAAAGCAAGCTCTGAGAGGGAAGCATTTCTGAAGCACTGTATTTGATAGTGAAGGAAAGTACCCTTCACAATGCTTTAATAGAACTTTAGCGATTTATCATGTCATTCTCGGCCGAAAACACACATTCCACAAAACAGAATTGCATCACTCCACATTAAGTTATGATCTCAAAGGTGATACTTATGAATATAGAAAAAGAGTCAGACGATTCCAAAACTGATCACTATGGAGACAGCACAATGAACTGCATGTTGAAATCTGCAAGATCCAAGCAATGGCACATCTGCAGAGCGTCATCGTTTTCCAGAACAAGTTAGAGAAAGAGGTGGAACGGATCTCATTTAATCTTAACCACCAAAACTGGGTCATCTAGGTTCTTTCAACAATTGATGACAAGATCTGACCACTCTGTATGGCAACTCATCCCAGCTAGTTTAGGGTTAGGTAAATTTCCTCTTGAAGGTGACTGTTTCTCCCTGCTAAACAGAGCCCAAGCCTGGCTGGTTCCCTTTGCCTGCCATTTAGATGGGTAACATTCTGTGATCCACCACTCCACTTCGGAGGACAGTCACCAGCAAAGCATTTTTCTCATGCCACAAATACTACTGAGATTTAAGAGTTCTTGTACAGCTTAGAATAAACCCTTACCCTACAACTTCTTATGACATGTGCCAGAACCAAGTCTAAGTATGTATTAATGAAAGAAGGCATAGTGAGGTAGTCATTCAGAATAGAGACTTGAACTTCAGGGTATGGGGAGACATTTTGCTACCAGTTAAATCACACTGTGCACTTACACTGAATTATCTTCTCTGTGATGGCCTTAAAAGAATATATTTTGTTGAGTTCGTCAGGGATGTCACCAAATAAGAGTATGAATTACAGCTTTGCACATTCATGTGCAAGTACTCTCTGTTCCTCTGGCTAATTTCAATCTTTCATATTAGAAATGAGAGTATTAAATACCTACTTTACAGGTCTTTTTCATGCCTTGTCTTGTTATACTTTGTATAAATATTTACTGCTTTGAAAAGAACTTAAAATCTGGCATCCTCTTCCCTAGAAAACTGCAGTAACTTCTGAGCTAGGGTAAAATTATTTCTCACCCAAGAAATACTAAACTTTTTAAACACAAACTGGAACAGCAAGATTTTTGAGAAACAGGAACTAGATAGGCTGGAGTCTGATGAAATGCAGGACACTCCAATCTAGTTCTTGTTCAGTGGGCATTCATGGGGCCAGCACAGTTCCTATAGGGACAGAGGGGATGTACAAGCAAGGCTTTGTAAGTAAACACATTTGCAGGAGGTATGACATTATGCACTTCATGAAAGACACGGAGAGCAGAACCCTGCTCTATGCTTTCCAAAGTTTGTCAGCAGGAAGCTGACAAAAGCTGCCTATGTGTCAGCAAGATCAGATTGCTGCCAACAAATTGACACAAATCGTCCAACACATTTCTCAGGATCTGATTTTGCATAGAACAGGGAATGCTGTTACCAAAAGACAAGATATAACAAAGACATTTTCTTCCAGTCTTACTGCACAACAACAGCAGACACTGTAAGACTACCACATGCACAGTGCTACTAATGCTTGCCATTGCAGCCACCATGCAATGACCACAGCAGGTGCCTGAACTCAGATATCTTTTTCCAGGCCTGGCCACTGAATTTGTACTGGCAATTTTCCCTTTGTGGGACAGATTTTACAGAGAATATTCTTTACTTGTGACCTGAACTCATTGAAGATTTATTTAGTCCATAAACATTTCTTATTTTTCAAGTAGTAAAAGATGACAGGCCAGGGTCTTGAACTTCAGTCTCTGTTCTCTAAAGTCAAGTTCTCTAAACCATGATAAGCATCTTTGCTACCCATTACTCCAAGTGCAAGAAAGTATTTTTGTGTTATTTAGGAGAGACTTCTGCTTTAATGGTTACACATAAAAAATACGTCATTAAAAAAAAAGGTATTTCCCAAAGAAAACAGAAAGATGATTTGTCTGACAGCTCCCAAACAGTTCTGAATTATTTTTTGCAGCCACACAAAGATTACTTTCTACAATCACAGAAAGCATGAGCTGATGCACACTGTGGGAAAAAAGGAATTGAAAATAACTTCTAATACTTACGTGGACCAGCTAAGGAATGTAATGAATGAAGAGCAGGAAGAATCACCTCTTCTTTCTCTGGAAACTCTTTAAATACGTTCAGTATGATCATGTGATCTTTGCTTTCAACAAATTCAGTCAGCTGCTCTTCTGGAACTAAAGTGAAAGGCAAGAGATACAGTACATTTTGAGGAAATAATTCTTATCCTGGTACATAATGAGAAAAGACAACTGTTTTTATCAGGTTTCCTTATATTTAGTTTCTATGTTTCACACAAAGTGAAGTACTCCCCCATATACATCATCCTTCATGATTATAGCTTTTTTAACTAAAAACTGAGCTACTTTATGAACACCTTTTTCTAGCTTACACTTTATGTAATTGAGTTCTGAATTTTAAATGCTACCTTGTGAGTCTGTATTTTTGAAGTCTTTTAGCCTTTCTCACAGAATGGTAATCCAAACCAAGTTTCCACAGATAGTCCAAACCAAGATAGTATGTAAGTGAGGGAAAAGCTAAACACACCGTGAAAAAAAAAATATAATTAGGGAATGCCATTTTGCATACCCTGATTTTTTATTTTTTTTAAATAATGTACTTTTTTCCATAAAGCCATGCTTATCTTAATGGCATAAGGTTTTTCTCTTCCTGGCCCCTCTTATTCATACTGACATAACTGTGGGGCTGTGCAATGAACCACATAAGGCAACTGACTCAGGATGAGAGAGAGCACCTTTTAAATTTCACAAGCAGAACTGTTTTCTGAATCTGGTCAAGATAAGGTTATGCAAACATCCACATAACAAAAAATGACATGGTGGCTCAGAGGTAGAGGAAACAAGGCAGGAGCAGCCTAGGAATTTGTCACATTGGTGCTGCCATCAAGAAGAAGGTATGCAGGTCTGTACCTGCAGCCAGATCTGTCAAAATCTGGCACTTACAAAAACCATGCACAGAAAACATGAGAAGTTCAGACTTCTGTGGAGACTGAAGAGAAAATATAGCAGGGCAAAAGTATTTAGGGACAGGAAGAAGAAAAGGAACAGAGAAGAAAATTCCAAGCACACATGTGGGAGAAAGACTTAAAAAAGCAATATAAAATGGTGTCAAAAAGAACCAATCTGAAGAACTGAAGACTATCTTTGAAGCAAAGGAGTACAGCAGAGCATTTCTCAATATTTATTTTGACTCAAGAAATTCAATTCAAAGCACAGGGACTACAAGGGCACTTCTGGCTGTAATATGCACAGTTCCTGAAATTTCTGCAAAAATTCAATACATGGTGACTTCATTTTTCAGAATAAATGGGAATATTATATGGACACATGATCACCTTTTAGCACTGTCAGGGTAAAAAGCAGAACCAAGTATTTTTCTAAAGTACAAACATTTTGCTTGATTTCAGAACTGTTCATGTTACTAAAATTTACCAGTCTTTAAATACACAATCCTGTTTTGGAGAATTAAATCAAATGTCACTATTCTTTATTCCAGCTACTGACCAGTGTTAAATCTCATCTTTTCAGCTAACTGTGGATTAAGAAATGAAGCAACATTTTAATTTTTTAAAGATGTCATATTCATTGCTCTAATTTATAGAATTTGTGATATTGCTTGGAAAGTCTGTTTTGTCCTAGCTCATTTAAGAACAAACATAATCCACAAACCAGTCTAGAATGCAAGAATTCATTTATTGCATTTAAATTAATATCTGTCATCCCTCCCAATCTATACATTTTTATAATGCCATAAGCTACAAGATAAAATACCTTTCTCAAAAAGTTTGTGTAATACTTTACATCCATGCTGTTGGATCTCTTCATTTTTAGGGAAGGTGTGCATGGCATTAAATACCAATGAGAACACATCCACCTCTTCTTCCAAGAGCAGGAAAGCAATTATGTCTGAACAGCAGAAGAGATTACATGTTGCACTGATTATTTATTGACATTTTCATTGAAACACCATAAAACACAAAATTCTTTAATACTGTCCTTAAAGTTAAAGCTGACATTTCAAATCCAGCTTTGTATAACCCATGCCAAAGTTCTCTCTTACGGTAGCATTTTAAAATAGTACTGATGTTCTAAAACTTCACCACCAAAAGACAGTTCATACCTACCTGGTAAAAAGGTGCAAAATAGTACTTTTATTATTTTGTATACAACTACAAATGACAAGTGACTTCATGGAGTAAAACAGAAAAATCCAGTCTGCCATATACAGGCACACACTTCATAGCAGCTCTGTGTTTTAAAGGCACAGATGAAATAGGAAAGTAAAGCACGCAATACCTGACATGAGGAGTAGATTTAATGCTTTTAGTCCTATTACTGAAAGACTTTTATTTCCTTTGTGAACTGTAAGCATTTTAAGAATCTGCCTAAAAAATAAAGACAAAAAAAAAAGGAAAAAAAGTTACAGCTAAAGAAATACTGACAAACACAAATTTTTATCAGACATTTACTTTGAAAACAGAAGTAGTTGCAGAAATTAGCAAAACCTTAAAAAGCTCTCAAATAATTTGTAAAAAAACCTTTTATTTCAGTTTATATTTTTTTTCAAGTTACCAATGAAGTAGTACTGGAATTTCAACTATAATCATAGTTCATTAAAATACTGATGTATAATTTATCCAATTTATTTTAACTTTCAGTCAGTTATACAAATTAATTCTGCAGGGTCATTTAGGAGGTGGCTACTCTCCAAAGTGCTGGGACAGCACAGCATTGCTCTGCTTGCAGCAAGAGCTCAGTTACACTGAACAACCAAGGTTTGGTGGAAGAGAAGAAGCAGTTTCCTGGCTGAAGAATTTGAACAGCATCTTGATGAACTCTAACCTATGTTTCAGCCCTACTATTAATTATATATAAGTATTACTATATTATTATATATATACACTACTATATTTATATAGATATTTTTAACATACTTTACTCAGACTACCATCTGTAAATAGTGACTAAAAATCTGTAACACCTCTTCAAAAAGATATAATTCTAAAAGCATTGATACCTCACTGAATGAAGCAGATCTCAGAATATGGGGGAACTGTAATTAAAATCTAAATTAAAATGCATAGACTTACACACAAAAACAAAAGAAACTTTTTTTTTTTTACTTTTTCTTATTTTAGAGCGTTTCATTCTGCAATTTCAATAATCTTCAAATGTGATTCTTTGCATATATAATATCTAGTAAAAATAGAATGTGCTGTAGTTTGTGATACTACAGTTGATATTCTTGACCTGTCTTGAAAAACATAAGCCGCACTTAAAGTTTCATCCAAATTTCATATCCCAGCTCTGGCAGTGATGTTGTTTCTCTTGCTGAAGTCTAAATTTATAAGCTGGAATTAATGTATCACTGTTTTCCCTTCATTCTATGATGCAGCTAGTTTTTCTCACCTCTGTTGTAGCACTAGTGTCATAGCCATGATGACCAAAATAGACAAGAGAGGCAAAATCCGATGACAGGTATAATATCAGCTATAGGTGTAATTTTAGAGAATTCCCTCCTATACATCCTCCTATTTCAGGTATAACCAAGAAGAAGGAGGTAAACCCTTCTAAACTTCTTCTGCTGTAGGGAAGTTTAATATAAGAGATTACAAAACATCTCATGAAGTCTATTTAAGCTTGTGGAAAGAATACAAATACACTGAAGGAAATTCTCTTTCTCTTTACAGTTACAGCAACTATAATTATTTATTACACTGACTGTCAGAAACACCTAAATCAATAGCAAGCTACCATTTGTAAACATAACTGCAGTGTAGTCAAGTTGGATCATAGCTGACAGACAAAAGAAAGAAATGCTTTTTCTAGTTTAATATTCCTATTCTCCTAAAATAGTTACACAAAAGGGAAAAATCTCCTGCAAAAAAATGACCTTTTCTTATCTATTGTAACTGTTTCCTGCTTTGCTGTAAACAGCATCTATTCATTATGGTGATTCACTGCAATTCTAGTACAATCCATGCTCAAGGAACATGAAACATAATTTAGCCTGCTTGCTCTGCCTTTGGCACTGACAGAAATGCCTGAGCCTACTCCTCCACTAAGTCTTCCCACAGCAAGGGAAACTGTCAGAATATCAGACAGGGATATATAGTTGGCTAAAATATTGGTGCTGAGAAGGAATCATGTACAGCAATGCTATCATCAGATCTTTAGTGAAGTTTGAGTTTGAAAAGGATGCTTTGTTAACTGTACACATTGCGTGGGCGAGGAGGAGGCTGTGGGAAAGATCAGTCCCAGAAAGTAATTTTTCTGGGACCTGAGAATGAGCAGCAGTATCTCCAGCTCTCAGGATAACTTTCAGTCAACTAACAAGCTTTTAAGCTGCCAAAGAAATTGCAACTAGCATGTGCACCTTCAGCTCAGTTATTTCTTGTTAATGAAAAGCAACCCAAGTCACTTTTGCTTTCCAACAAAAACTGCCAACACATCTTTCAAGAGAGTTCACTCCCCTACTGCCATGTATTCTAGCCACTACAAAACAAATAAACAAACCCCCACAAAGTCAAAATGCATCTTCATGCTATTTTTCAATAGCAACCTTTCCAAGGAAGCGTGTGGTGAGGACTATGGAGGTAGATTCATGGGGTTATAAGGCTGTATGTTCTTGCTGCTGTCATTATCAGCCCTGAAGGCAGCAACCTGTCCAAGAGTGAGAGCACCTAACCAAGTTCCCAAACCAACCCCCGTGTACATTCTGCCTACATCTACAATTAACCTTCGTGCTACTGGGCAACAATTCAGCCAACTTATGTGGCTGTTCATCCCATCTAATCACAGACATCCAGAAAAAAATTTGCTTAGGCTTCCTTTGACAGCTGATGGACCAGAGCTGAGCAAGTCCAAACCACAATTTGCTCCATTTACTAAGAAGACAGAACAAACCATTACTTCTGAAGGTAATTGTATCCACTGAACTCACAGGTAGTTGAGGTGATCAGTGTAAATACTTATCTTTAAGACAATAATAACAGGTGTCACAAAACCTCCTTGATTTACACTACTTAGGTTTGTGGATATAGTTCCTCACATTTGAAAAAACACACACAAACATCCAGGTGACACTGCCTCTGCCAAAAACGTTACTTAGGATTTTTTTTAATGTGTAAGTGGAAATTCCTATATTTCAATTTGGGCCCTTTGCTTCTCGTTCTGTCACTGAGTGTCACTAAAAAAGGCCCGTCTCAATCTCCTTTACTTTCTGAACCAGGTATTTAAATACACAGATAAGATCTCTATTTGTGTGTGTCACATTCTGAAGGCTGAAGAAATGCACAAAAAAGCTCATACAATAACTTTGTATATTTAATTGCATGTATATGCTGCCAAAATGACCAAGCATTCTAGCAGACTCTTTGTATACAAAATACTTACTGGTGAACACCCAGTACTTCCCAGTCCTTCCCAACATCCTTAGGAGCTATGTTTTGTAGAGTACTTGGACAAATTTCTATTAATTTACAAAGAAGTGACCAGCCCATCTGTAAAACAAAAACACAACTATTTTAGAATAGATATTCTGCTTGGCACTTTTACATTGTCTTCTAATATCCTTGGCTTTTGCAAGACAGCTGTTCTGTTACCTAGCTAAATCAGTAAGGGAAAATTAATTAACACAAGACAAATGGCATGGAAAGTTAAAAGATGGAAGTAAAACGTATGCTAATGATTCTGATTGCATTGCTTGCAGGAACACATCACTCTCAATCTGCTTCAGCACTGCTTGAGGATAAAGGGCACACAGTTAAATGAGCTGCTGATAGACAGAAACGTACCATGTGATCCATAGTACGTTATCACAGGCCAGGGAAAATCCCTCTACTATTATGGGTGGTTCGGATTTAACAAAAAAATGTGTGTTTTCATAAGAATTTAACATTTAATTGCAAATTGTAAGAAAGTATACGTTTTTAAAGGTCTTCAATGTTTTAAATGAGGATGAGATACATAAACAAGCACCATACATTTCATATTCTAGCCATCAACCCTCAGTTCTGTGTGCTTTCAAAATATAACAAAGGCAGTAGAAGTTTTGAGATCATAAGGAGTGAAAGACAACTAAACCAAATGTATTTGTTCTTAAGAACTACCTGTCCCATCCTGTGCAAATTCTTTGACTTTCAAACATCTGTAAATAGTGCCAAAAGCTAAAAATGCTCCTCTTTGATCTTCTGTATTGGAGAAATCTGCTCTCTTATGAATGTCTACTGGCTGATATAACTGAACAGGCTGCAGTGAGGAAGCAGTAAGCAAAATCTGTACAAAGAAATAACTGATGAAAGAAAACCCCTCTATTGAAAGAGGTGAACAGTGAAATGTCGAAAGTCAAGATGAAGCAGATTTTACAAAAAGGAATTATAACAAGGCATTTGAGTTTCCTTGAGCCTGTAAGTAAATTAAAAAGTGGAGGCAGGCCTGTGACAAGGCTGTGCTTTAAGAATAGAGTCAAGGCAGAAGATAATATGTAACAAAGACTCTATATATCCAGCATAACTGGATCACTTTTTCACAGAAGAGTTAAGTAAAGCAAAGAGGTCAAGATGGGACAGCAAACAACAGGAATGTAAATGGCTACCTCCGAAGAGTTTAACAACAAAGTTCATATAAAGTGCATGATCCCTAACCCTGCAATCAGTAAGACTAGAGACATGGAATTACAAGTCTGGTAGTGTAGCCACCCACAGGAATAGCGTAAGCCTGAATCTAGACAGCTTTCCTGACAGCCTTGTAGAGCGTGTAAAAGGCGATGTAGCTCCCTGGGGACTGGAATTCTGCTTTTGCCTTTCACACATTCGGTTGCAGTGTGAGCATAGCCCATATCTGCAGGACTTTTGTTCCTGTTTCAGTTTAGATTTGCAGAGACAAATGTTTTAAGCCAATTACAACATTAATGTCTGCAGATTGAGCTTGACTATGAGCCAATTTCCATGCACTTCTCTTCCTTGGATAGCAAGCTGCCTTGTCCTGCATGTGACTACAAATCTCTTACTATGGACATTCAGGCTAGTCTGTGTAACTGAGTCCTTACTAAGTGTAGGTACAATGAATAGTCTTAGTAACCATTGGTCCAAGATGAGGGGATGTAATTGCCTAATTTTCCATACTGCAAACAAAATAGAGTTTATTGGTGACAGTCAATCAGGTACAAATTTCAAAAACCTTGTAGAAGTGACTATTAATTGATAAACTGCTTATTCCTTAGAAAACATTTTATCTTAGAAGTCCCACTTTATAAGAGCATCCTAACAATTCTTATAAAATTTAGAATCTGATGAAAACTTGCTTAATTACTTTAGAAAATTAATTTTTGTATTAACTGTTTCTGATGAATTTTATATTCCCATTGAACATTTCCATTTGTATTGTTAGGACTCCAAGTACTGACAAACATTTATCAAATCTGTGATCCAGAGAAGATCAATGCAAACATCTGACCTGTTGATATGTGGTCTATTTTACAATATTAAAATCACAACCTGAGGTAACAGAGAGCTTATTAGCTGTTTGATAATTAAGTAAGAAAGCAAGGTCTTTTAAATAACAGAAATCCTGAAGGTTACAGGGAAGGGAAATAAAGCAAACAAAGATGTCCTTATAAAGACTTAAATAAATCCCAATATACAGAAATAGTTGGTAGCAGCACTGAAACTCATTATTTTTAAACCAGACCCTTTTTGTTTCTAGCATGCAATTAATTAATATTAGGTCCCACCATCTATGTAGAATAATAAAGCTCTGCTGACTGCTCTTTACACAAGTGCACTCATATTTTGCTCTAGAGTTTCTCAGCTGCTCCAATCATTGCCAGAGAAACTGCAGGAAACTACCCTATTTACTTAAAGACATATATTTTACTTAGAGGAACTACTGGCTTTCCACACCTGTACCTTACTACTTCTGAAGGAGCTTGCAGAGTTTAGGCCTGCAGTCTGACTTGGCCAGCTCTTACAATATTGACCTACTAGGCAAATTAACCCTGTAGAAGTTAGTGGAACAGCAGCAACCCACGATGCTTTGTAACCAGTTAAGGAGGGGAGGCAAAGTAAATTCTCATTTTAGGTATATCTCTGACTGTGTTTATTCTCTTATGTGAGTCAATTCTTTTACAATGCCAAAAGAAAAAGGAGGATGGTTAATTATTTATTCAATAAAAAAATCATTAATAGTGCAAAGAGACTGCACTGAAATCAGGACCTCATTAACTTTGCCACTGCTGTAAAGTGAGAATTTATTCAAAAATATTACAAACAAATAGCAGTGAATGAAGCAAGAAGACAGAGCTCCACTTACAGTGTGAATGTTTGTAAACATCAGAACTGAATGTGAAAGAAGAGCTGCCCAAAACATTTTATGAGGAATGGAATTTGATCTTTGCACTGGCTATGAATTTCCCACTGCACACAACATAGTAATGCAAAGGAGGTCCAGAACTTCTAAACTGTATGACTGCAAATGTAGGCAGGAAGAAGATTAAAATTAATTTTAAAATTCTGCATTAGAATGAGGTATTTTAAGAAAGTTAAAATGAAAGTTAATCACTATCTTTCTTACATAATTCTGAGAGTCTTGTGCTACCATTTCACACCTACTTCTTGTTTTGATTGATGTTTTACTTCCAAGTTTAGACTTCTGGGCAGAGGTTTTATAAACTAATGTGCTTTATCTTGAAAATAACTGCTGATTAATATTCCTGTATTTATGAAAATCATACAGTAAAGTAAGTAAAACATTAAGACACTGCACAAATATTTAGTCTTCAAAGAAATCTCAAGAACATTGTTATTTCAGGTTAACCACTACAGAAATACAATTTCATACTTAATCTAGATTTTGGGCTTTTGATCCCTAGCTAAGGTCTAGCACACAGAAAAACGCCCAACCCCAAAACCTTAAAATATATTATTATTTAAGAGGCATTTGCAATATAATTCATGTTTTTCCTTCCAGCTGAATTGAAAAAATCCCAAAACATGCCCAAAATATTCTAACTATATAAAGGTGCTTAAAAATAAATAAAAAAAGAAATCAAGTGAGATGCACAGAAATCTGGAGCTTATAAACATCCTCTATGCATAGCATAGTCAGAAATTTAATATATGCCTGCCAGGAAGGAGCTGTTTCGTATGACAAGTCTGGCAGCTGTACCATAAGTATAACATCAAATTGTGCAAGTGCCACACCCAGTCCAAATGGGCCAATGTTAAATTACAGGAGCAGGCCGGCAAAACCTTAAATTTCAGAACTTACTCGTAGCTAAAATATTCCCTCCTGCCTTTAAAAAACTGTGCTAGCACAAGTCTCAAGGATACGGCTACATATATATGAATTCATAGTATAAAATCGTGCTTTTCAGAAGTTTGTCTAACCACGGCAAAATTCAATATGGACACATCAAAATTATATTAGATAACATCATTGGTAATTTAGAACCCTATATTACACAGTATTCACATGGCTTAATTTTTATTTTCTATTTCGTCTCCTTCTGCCGGTAATAACAGAGACGCAGCCAGCGGCGCCTGCAATAAGCTGGAGCGCTTGGTCCCTTTAAATGCCAGCGATGACAGCGCCCTTCTACAGCTCAGAGCACTTCATGAAGCGGCCCAGGAGACAGACAGAAAGTTAAGGAGAAATCGACAAGCGGAACAAGAACTTTAATCCCGGGACGGGCCGGCGTTCGCTCAACCCGGAGCGCAGACGGAGCGGGGGAAGCGGCCCCGACCCGCCCGGC